ACACGCATTTACGCACACATGACCTTTTCCAGTTTTGCTTATTTCATTTACCTTGAAAACCAATATGAGACTAGACGAAATTGCCAAATACTTCTTTGATACGCGTGCCAGGTCTATAATTGCATTTTCTCATGGAAGGAATCAAGCAAAAATTATAAAAATAATTCTATGTTAAGGTGATGCTTCACAAATAATATTTATGTCAAAAAATGAATTAATTTCTTCAAAATTAAATACTGACACGCATTTACGCACACATGACCTTTTTCAGTTTGCTTATTTCATTTACCTTGAAAACCAATATGAGACTGGACGAAATTGCCAAATACTTCTTTGATACGCGTGCCAGGTCTAGAATTGCATTTTCTCATGGAAGGAATCAAGCAAAAATTATGAAAACAATTCTATGTTAAGGTGATGCTTCACAAATAATATTAATGTCAAAACTTTAATTCATTTCTTCAAATCCAAATACTGACACGCTTTTGCGCACACGTGACCTTTTCTTCTTTTGCTCATTTTATTTATCCTCAAAATCAGTAGGCCTAAATACATTGTCCGATACTTCTTTAATACGTGTCAGGTCTAAAATTGCAGTTTATCATGAAAGAAATCGAACAATTATCATAAAATAATTATGTGTAAAGGTGACTGATGTTCTTCAGATTATATAAACATCAAAATTGTAATTCATTTATTGAAGGTTAAATATCCACATGCTTTTATATTAGGCACACATAACCTTTTCCCTTTCGTTCATTTTATCTATCTTTAAAATCAGTGAGCCTGAACTCATTGCTAAATACTTTTTGATACGAGTCAGCTCCAGGTCTAAAATTGCATTTCATCATGGAGCAAATCGAGCAATCATTATGAAAATAATTCTGTGTAAAGGTGATGTTCCAAAGACAATATATATGTCAATTTGATAATTCAGTTACTCAAAATGAAATATCCACATGATTTTACGCACACATGATAATTTCCTGAATGACGCTACTTTTTGGATTCAACCATGCATATAACGTCGTAAAATACACATTTCTACCGAAATTATGCCCAGCCGTTTTCGTAGAAAATGTAACAAATGAAGGCATTTTATCGGAACTGATTGATATTTGGTACTTATAGAATATCGTATTTACTTTAACTTTTAAGCGATTCAGACATTTAAAAAAATTATGTTTAATCAATGTTAATTTCGCACGAATATAGGGTACAAAATGAGTGAAAGTCCCACGTGTTTGATTGCATTTTACTCCCATTTATGTGCATTTTTCTAACATTAAAACGAGATAGTTGGAAAGAAGAGATCAGTAGAATTCTATCCGTCACTTTCATTTTCAAATGTTTAAATGTTTCCCGTTTCATTGGACCTCATAAAGATGGTAGCCAACGGACCAGAAACAAGTAGTGCGATGACGTCATATATCGCTACACCACTTTGATATAAAGTTTGGTAAACAACAATGGGTTTTTTCAATGTGCCGTCCTACTGTTACGTACATCATATCCATTTTGGCGTTATATCAATATCGCCATTCAACAGTTTCAACTAGCCACGGTCTTGTACTTTATTCGTACGATTCAATAAAATCAGTATTCCAAGCCTAAAGTATGAAGTGGAAACCGGGGTACATGTATGATCGCCCTTCAAAATACATCTTTCTGAGTTTTTAATCTTTTTTACTCAAAATAAAGTTATTTATCTCATATATTTTCATCTTTACGTATACCTCAAATATCTTATGTATTCAAAAAACAATAAAACAACTAAAGGCTGCAAAGATATTAACTCAATATTTTGGAGGAAGTATTCGCATAATTGCCAAAAATGGTACTGGGTTTATATTTTTTTAGGCAAGATTTGGAAGGGGCACGAACCCGCCAAACCCCCTCTCTATGGCCCTGCTAGTATAAAAGTACGATTCATCGTTCCTGCAAAAATAGACATCTTTCTGAGAATGTGGTTCGTTCCCGACATGGAGTCCATAACGAAAGGGTGGGGTGGGGGGTTCGAGACGAAGGGAGTGGGGAGGGGGTCGAAGGTTTGGTGGATCACGGGGCAGAAGCTGTTCATGTGTAAATGATTACCGATCCTTAGAATCCGAGTTTTACATGTTTTACTTTTGTAAACAGACAAGACAAGTATATTCTTCTTTTATTCTATAAAATTCCCAAGGCGTTTTAGAAAGGTTGGTGTAGGACAATTTAGTATTTGGACTAAACTCTTTTTAATTCAAGTAAATGCATATTGCTATAGGCCCGGTTACACCGCCTAAACGTTGCTGGAGCGTTCCTTGAACGTTGAAAAAAATCATCAACGCTCGTAACGTTCACCACCGTTTAACAAAAGTTGGCATCCGTTAAAGCAACGCTATAAACGCTCGGCCAACGCGGATGTTTCTCGAGTGGCCATCCTAACGCTCCAAAAGTTTTGAGCTGCTCAAAATATTGCGAGCGTTGAAAAAGGGACAATTTTACGCCCTGGCAAAGTTTATCACCGCTCCACCAACGCCCAGTCAAAGTTTGGCACCGCTAGACGCAAGTTCGTGGACGCTTGAATCCGCTAGACCAACGCAGAAATCTTAAACGCTGGACCACCGCTGCTTCGCCAGCGTTGCCCGGGCGGCGATCAAACGTTGCACAAACGTCGGTGGAGCGGTTGTTAGCGTTTTATCAGCGTACATGGGGTTGTTGGAACGGTGTCGGACGTTGTCGCAGCGTTCCATGGCGGCGATGAACTTTGCTTTGGCGTTGGTATAGAGGTGTCGGAGCGGGACCAGAATTTGGCCATAAATACGTGGAGAAATGCACCACTGTGTAGAACACTGTGGAGACACTTGTGCATTTTACATTTGATATATATATTCATGTCTGGCATTTCAATTTTTTGCATTGTAAATTCCTAAATTAAGCGCTCAAAGTTTGTGATTTTGGATTTTAAAAAGGTGAATTATGCGATTTTTGTTTTTCATTAAATGTTAATACAAATAGACTTTTACTGAGACCTTTATTCAAATATAGTATATACCTAGTGTTTTTACGTCAAGCAATTCAATAAATTATTTTCTGCGCAGCTTGTAAAATGTTGCACTCGTCATGGTATTATACAAAAAGTTGATGCGCGCACAGCAATGCAAAAATTTGTCATGCGTCATGATTATTACTTTGCTGTAAATGTTATTTGACATTGTTAAAGCAATTTGAACGTAAATCGGTTCCAAGTAATGGAAATGCAACGATTAAATTGTGACTTTTGTTAAAGTTACAAATTCCAATAAAGGTCTTTACTCTTAAACACTTCCCACTTGAAATAATTTCCCAGTAGTCAAACGCGATATGCTGCTAAACCAACGCTGCTGCTATTTATACCCCCGCCGAGGCAACGCTCTCATGCGCAGAACGCCGCTATACCAACGCTCGCATTACCGCTAAACAAACGCTAGCTACCGCTCGCAACCGCTTAACCAACGCTAAAGCAACGCCGGCTTCAGCGGTGCACCGCTAAGCCAACGCCCGTGTTTTTGTTTTTTTCCCCATTTTGTGCGCGTTGACGAGCGTTGATGAATTTTTTCAACGTTCAAGGAACGCTCCAGCAACGTCCGGGCGGTGTGACCGGGCCTTATGCATTGGCTTTGGAATCTAATTGATATTTTGGGTTCTCAGAAGAAGGATAAGATATTTCGTTTAAAAGTATGTGTGATTGAGTTTGGGTTTTCTAAAAGGATTGGTATCGATATGGTGAACTGAATTCAACATTGTTTTTCTCTGAACCAATCATTGAAAAAAACGATTCCTTTATGTTTAAAAAACACGATCCTTTATGTAATGCTCACTGATTGACAACAATTTAATGTGAAGATTATTTTTTATTCTATATAATACATTATTGTTTTTGTTAACAATTTTTATTTTTAATGCAATTGTTTGTTGTTCCTTTCTACCCGAATTCTTGAGAATGAAATGAAATATCAATCCAAACCTTGTTGGAACAAAAAGTAGCATAATGTACATTTTCTTAGATCTCTCAATATCATAGGAAATTTGGGTTCATTTAAAAAAAAGTATTCAAAAGATTTAAACAAAAACACCCAAAATAGATTTTAAAAAAATAAAGTATACCCTTTATTTCATTAACAAGATACTTATTTTGAATGAACCCAACTTTCCTTATTTGTTATTGAGAGACCTAAAAACGTTGTGTATATGTCAGATTATATCAAAGAGGTTTAGATAGATATTTCATCTCATTCCGAAAATATTGTACCAAGAAGAAAACAAGTGTCTGATGTGTTTTCTAAAACTGTAAGTATATAGATAAAGATATTTTTATTAAATTGTTGCCATTCAAAAGATGAACATTAAATTGACGATGTGAAAAATTGTCAGAATTTGTGTTCAGTTTAGTTCACCATATCGCTACCAAGCCTTTTTTGATGTTTTCAAAGTCCTTATCCTGACTAGACTTACCATTTAGATGATATAAGTTGAAAATATAACTGTATGTATGGATGTATGTATGTATGTATGTAACGGCCCTGGATAGCAAGTTGCTACTACAGCCCAGCTGTATTAGTGTCATAATTCAGTTGATAGATCATCAGCCTTTTGTTCTAAAGGTACTAGGTTCGGTACCCACACGGGATATTAGATTTAGCACACTTTCTTTCAATTCTGTATTTGTCTTGTTACACTATGCACGTTAGTTAATTTCCCTGGGGCGCCCACATTGGTGTAAGATATGGGATCATAGCATACGTTGTATCATCCTTTGCGCCTGGGTGTGGTAAGCCCTAGGTTCGATTCCCACACAGAGCATTGGATTTAGCACACTTACAATATTTAACATAGGTGACAGGGGTAATGACATTTATACAGACGCCCAACTCCGACTGCCGTCCACAAAAAGTTAGAGACCATAAAAATATGTCACCCATTTGTGGTGGTGAAATAATAAACCAACCATGTTAAATCAAATGACAGAACTATGTTATTAATTTTTTCGAATGCAGTTTTATTTCTGTCAATCAATAAATATTATAAGAACACACATTTTAAGATTTAAATAAGATGTAAGATATTTTAGTACATAAATGAGCTATACAGGTTTCATTTAACCATTGCAGATAGTTTGTTACACTGGATTTTCTAAATGTATTTACTTTGACTTTCAAATGATGTGAATAACTATGTTAATAATAAAGTGCCTTTCAAAAGTCTAGACTTTATCATTGATGGTAAGCCAAAATTTATCATTGTTCACAGCAAATGTATATTATGCGATGATGTCTACATGTGATTGACAGAACGCTCAGTCCATGGGTGGGTTACATGTCGATATTCTCTCTAGTTCCATTCACTGATTCACATCTACTTGAAAAATGTTTGATGTTCGATTTTATCTTCTAACGTCAAAGCTGCATTCTTTACAGCCACACGAGTCAATTGTGAAGATTTGATGTTCTTTTGTGGTGCCGTCATCTGAAATTAAAGAAAGGCGTTTTGGTAATGCAAGTACAAAGCTGTTAATTGAAGCGAAGGAACATTTTTGTAGCTTATTTTTAACTCAAAACGATTAAATGTACAAGAATACGTTGCTGTTGGACAATCAGCTTTTTCACAACAGCATAAGAACAATTCGAAAAATCAGAACTAACAATTACGTAGTATTGAATAAAGGAATATCAGATTATACTAACCGCAGTTCATGGTTATTTTCTTGTAGCTAGCCGTGCCTGGTTGACAACATGTGCATCCCTTTTCGTAACTTCCGTCATCCATAATTGTTGTTGTACTCATGCATGTTCCACTACATTGCATCAGTTCAATTGGTTCACCCGAGACACAGAAAGCTGACTCGATCGTTGCACTGACATTCCTTGGTGGTAGCTTAGTTGCAGCGCATTCATCAGGTCTGGGAGTCGTAGGGGGAACTTCAGTAGTAAGGTTGTTTGTTACTTCTGTTGTTGGAGTAAGTGTTGGTGAAGACGATGGTACCTCAGTTGTTGTTTCTGATTCTAGAACACAAAAAGTCTAGGTTTAAATGTGTAAATCCTATACACATTACACATATGTGTTGTTGAGATCTGTTTTAAGTTTAAGTAGAACAGGGGGGGGGGGCAATGCATTTTGGAAATCATTCCAACAGATTATTCAATGCCTTCAATTCTTATTTTGAGTATGTATTTCCCATATGACCAAACATTGTGAACCTGTACCTGTAGTAGTTTCAGTCACTGTTGTTGGTTGGGTAGATGTAGTCATAGGTAGTGTAGTGTATGTTTCAGGTGTACAGATGTAACAACCGTCTTCTCCAAGTTCCCGAATGTAGCCCAACTGACAATCAACCTCTGTCTTGATTATTGTAATTATTCCACCAGCTTCGCATTTTGCGTGTTGGCAAGGCGATTGTTTTACAGTTGCCCCTTTCTGCAATAAGAAGATAGAGCCCATTAGAGTGATAACTTAGGGTTATTATATAACAAATACTCTGGTTTGAATTTCTGTCACCAATCTAAATACCACTGATTAAGTATTTACACTTACATTTACTTATTTAACTACATTTGCAGATGATACTCAAGGAATGATTAATCAAAAGAAATAATTGTCCACGGATAATGAGGTCATCTTTTGGAACTTTGGTTTTTGCTCGCTTTCAAGACTTCACTTCAAATCAATTTTAATTTCATCGTCGAGAAAACATTACTTTTCTCCATACTTTCAACATGTTTAATGTAATAAATAATGGCCAACTTAAGAAAAATGACTAAACCAAATTAACTAATCATTTAAAATGACCTCAAAACCATTTCTTGAAATAGGCCTACTTTTAGCTCTTCTCCCTTTTCATCTTGTGAAAAACTCGAGGGTTTGTTTGTATTTGTGCCTCTACCTTTTGCGATTTTTTTCACAGAATGGGTTAACTTAATATCTAATTCATCCAAGTCTGAGATAAATTATTTGATATCTTACGTTTATACACATCTCAGAAGTAGCAGTTTTGACAAGGCATCCATCACCACAGTCTTTTTCACATTTACAGCAACCATCTACCATTATTTGCCTCATGCCCTAAAATTAAATAAGTCATTGCATTTACTCAATTTTATTTTTAAATTCCGAACAAACAATGATTTCAGATGTAGGTGAAGCTTTTGAAGATTATACTTTACACAGTCCAGCATTCAAAGTCGATGTATTTGCGATCCTATTAATGTCATATATAACATTAAGTATAATTATTATTAATTTATGATCATTATCTAAGAAAAAAGATCATATTTACTATTGTTGTCATTATAGGGTTTAAAGGGCCCGCAGGATTTTGGGAAATGGGAATATACGTGTCTTGGGATGGGATAATGTGAGGATCTTAGGTTATGGACATGTGGTTTTGGGTAGGGGCATGTGGGTTTTTGGGGATTGTATCATTGTGTAAAAATTATTGCAACACGGACACGTCATAGATTCAGTAAATTTGACACAACCAGTTTGTAAATGTAGCATGAGCTGGCATGATCTTTTTAACATTGTGGAACTTGTTGGCAAATCATCCACCAAATAAAAAAGGCATAAAGTAAATGTTGTAGTCAAGAATGCATGATACCATTTAATTAGTTACATATAAGTAATTTTTATGTCTGTAATTCAGAGTTAACATGGATCATTTTTACTTTTCTCAAATTAACTTAACTTCGAGCAATACTGAAATTTGCCTAATATCTTTTACAGCACTACTCAGATTGTACCTTACAAAAATGTTCAAAATATAACTAAAGGTGACATCAAGTGAGTGACCAGCAACACAATTGGGCATGCAGAATTATGCAGGGAAGTAAGGGTCTTAGATTAGGGCGATAGGCATGTGGGGGGGGGGTCTTAGATGACGTTAGTTTCAACTTAGACACAGCAAACTTTTTCATTTTAGGTTATATGAAAGTATTACATCGTACATAATTAATTAAAACTGATACCTCTGATTTAAAAATATAGTACTGGCTTATCCACGATCATGAGAGAATTTTAGCGTAACTATCAAATCTGAGAATATAAGCTTAATTACCGCTTCGCAGCTTTTGCAAGCCTTTTCTCGAGTGACGGTGTTGTTCCTACAGGCATACTCATAACAATCGTTAGTATTTGTTTCATCCATGTAATAGTCACAGCTGCATTGGTCTGGTCGTACACAACGCCCACTTTCTTTGTCAAATACCATATCGCCTGCGCATACGCATTGTTTCTCTGTGGTTTTAGATTCGCATTCTTCCATTGTATTATCTCCACACATGTAATTACACTCATTTGGCTCAGCCAAGATCATACCCCTTTCCTCGCATGTTTCTAAAATTACAAACCGAATTCCATTTCAAATGCTAAGGAATTTCCTTTGAGGTTCTGCATGTTTCAAAGACTTACACAAAATCGTTCTTGAATGCAATGTATTCTTGTTTTGAAATTCATTCATTTTTAAATATGAAGAACTAAATGAAAATCCAACCTTCCGTGTCACAGCTGACATTCTCTTCTTGGAGTTCGAACAAGCATGTGTACTTTGTACATGTGTCATTTGTCTTTTCAGTTGTCTGTTCTCCCAACTAAAACATATAACTTTTTGATTGAATACAGGCAACTTGAATTGTGTTTTTATCTTTCAGATATATGCAATTCTTTTGCTCTTTAGAAGGATAATGCTGACACATAATAGACATAAGAAGGAAAATATGCAATCTGATCAAATTAGAGACAGGTAAAGAATATAGTACTATTCTCGATATACATACCTGCAGAACCTTATCCAGAGATTGTATATAACAAGGGCAGCTCGTGCGAGGAATGCATTCATCGTTGTAGAGGACATAATTTTCGGGACAGTCACACTGCGCCTCACTCGAATCCCACATAATAGCTGCTGAATTGTCGATGTCATCGACATTTTCACATGTTAACGTTGGCCTAATTTTATTTTCATTACATATTTCGCCGTCATATCTGCATGCTGTAAAAAAAAGACAGGTTTACCTTACGAGGGATGATAAATTACTTATATGTCAACTGGAAGAAAATCAACATGGTCGTCATTGAAAAGAAAATCTTCATTTTATATGTATCACGGCTTATTGTTACTTGTCTTAAACCAAGATCAAAACTTCGTAATGTTTAGCAAAATATTAACCATTCTCTTATTACAAGATGATTTCTCTATATGGAATTTCTACTCCAATCAAAAATGATTGGTATCAACCACCACAAATATAGCCTATCATATATACAGAAATTACAAATGGTGACGTACCAAACCCTATCAAATAGCTTAATTTAAGTATTGCATGGTGGAAATAATACTTCGGTGATAAAAGGTTATATCAGCAATTAGTGCACTCACTATCATTATTATTAGCCTCAAATTCCTGACATAGATCTTTCAACCTTGCATTTAACTTGAGTAATCCTATGTCTTAATTTATTTCTCTACTTAGAAAACAACATTTTACACAATGGCAAACTATAAAAATATAAAGTTGACAGTCACTCTTCATGTTACAAGGCTAATTAAACTGACATACTTCCACAAACTGATGATTCGGTTGTTGTCAGCATAACCGATGTCGTCGGTCCTGCTATTGTGGACAAAGTGGATCCTAATGTAGAGATGAAAGTCACACTAACAACTGTTGTCGTTTGAACAGTAGATTCTGTAGTCTGGTTCGTATAGGCAGGAACAGTTATAGTGACACTTGTTGATTCTGTAGGTGTTGGTCCAGAGACTGTTGTAAATGTAGAGCCTGGAGTTGCTAAATCACAGGAAATGAAAATTAGTTTGGAAAGTGAACAACCTAAGTTGCGCAACAATCTCTTCCTTCTTTAAAAGAAATGTGCATGCAAATGACACTTAAAAATCTGTCTCTCTTAACCCTTTTCACACGCCGTTGATAAATATTAAATATATACAGTGCATAATAATATATGAGGTGCCTCGTTTCAAAAAGTAACAAGTTGTTTGAACAATGGAATCTGATGGTCAACTTTGTGAGATATTGTTAGACTCGTGAGGATTCCCGGGTGAGGATTCCATGAACTTAGAAAAAATGACAGAATTATTCTTACCAGTCGATGGCTGTGAAGTTGAAGTTACAATCGATGGTTCTGTGGTACCTTAAAAGAAAATAGTAACAATACGTGTACGTAATGTGTGTTTTATACAAGTTAAATTCAGTTATTTTATATTCCAAGTCTATTCGAATTGATCAAAAGATCGAACTTCATCTTGATTTCAGATACCTACAGGGGACCCCAAAACCGTTAAAATCGATTAAAGACATTGTTTGAATCAGGTTTAAAGATTCATTTTATATGTTCCCTCACTCGTGCTCAATCGTTAATGGAGCAATACCGAAAGGCATTTCCGAAAAAATCACTAAAAAGACAAATTATTTACAGTCAATGTCACCTGTTACTATGTCGTTCCTTCATATATCTCTAAAATGTGCTAAACATTACCATAGTTGTTTCCTGTGGACAATTCTGTGGTTGTTTGAGAGGTTGTAACCGATGCTGTTGATGAACTTGTTGATGTTGTTGTTACTCCGGTTGATGCTGTTCCAGGTGTTGTACCTGATGTAGATGTACCTGGTGTAGATGTTGTGCCCGCTGCAGATGTTGTACCTAGTTCAGATATTGAATCTAGATTTGTATTTCAAAATATAGCTTGACACATCTGAATCTGATAGTTTAACAACATTAATATATATTTAAATATTACAGATTAAGTATTCTCATATTTTGCAAAATAAGACAAGTGTTATACCAAGATTGAATTAAGAAATATATGACAGTAGTATTCTTACAAGTCGATGGCTGCGAGGTTGAAGTTACAGCCGATGGTTTTGTTGACCTATCAACTTACCTGGGTTGTTTCCTGTCGACAATTCTGTGGTTGTTTGAGAGGTTGTAACCGATGCTGTTGATGCTGTTGTTACTCCGGTTGATGCTGTTCCAGGTGTTGTACCTGATGTAGATGTACCTGGTGTAGATGTTGTGCCCGCTGCAGATGTTGTACCTAGTTGAGATATTGAATCTAGATTTGTATTTCAAAATATAGCTTGACACATCTGAATCTGATAGTTTAACAACATTAATATATATTTAAATATTACAGATATAAGTATTCTAATATTTTGCAAAATAAGACAAGTGTAATACTAAGATTGAATTAAGAAATATATGACAGTATTATTCTTACTCGTCGATGGCTGCGAGGTTGAAGTTACAGTCGATGATTTTGTTGTACCTAAAAGAAAATTAATAGATCATGTTTTATAACAGTGAAATTGGTAACCAATATTCAGTATAACGTATACGTACGAGGGCAGATGAGAAAGTAATGGACCATTGGCTCTACCTTTGTGAACATACAATAGTGCTAAAAAACAAGTGTTTGACATTATTCAGACTTGATTGAATATATAGCGATTGTCGAAAATATTTTGAAAAACACAATAAAATATCACATTTGCTCTGAACATACCTTAGAAAACATGGCAACCAATAAAAAAATAAAAAGGTGATGTTTCAGAACAACGAAACTTTGTCTGTGTAATATTCAATGTACAAGTTAAATTGTGTAGAAAAATTACATAGAAAGGGTTAATATTGATGGAGTTAGAACCAAAGGTACATTACTTTCTGATCACCCCTCGTATATACGTATTTCATGACATACATTCACAATTTTAAAACAATCTATCAACATACCATAGTTGTTTCCTGTGGACAATTCTGTGGTTGTTTGAGACGTTGTAACAGATGCTGTTGATGAACTTGTTGATGCTGTTGTTACTCCAGTTGATGTTGTTCCAGGTGTTGTACCTGATGTAGATGTACCTGGTGTAGATGTTGTGCCCGCTGCAGATGTTGTACCTAGTTCGGATATTGAATCTAGATTTGTATTTCAAAATATAGCTTGACACATCTGAATCTGATATAGTTTAACAACATTAATACAATCTATCAGCTTACAGCTTATATATTTAAATATTACAGATTAAGTATTCTCATATTTTGCAAAATAAGACAAGTGTAGTACCAAGATTGAATTAAGAAATTAATGATAGTATTATTCTTACTAGTCGATGGCTGCGAGGTTACAGTCGATGATTTTGTGGTACCTAGAAATACACAGATAAATCATGTTTTTTAACAGCGAAATTGGTAATCAATGTCCCCTATAATGTATAAGTCTATTCCTATTTTATGACATACATTCACAAATTTAATATCATCTATCAACTTACCATAGTTGTTTCCTGTGGACAATTCTGTGGTTGTTTGAGACGTTGTAACCGATGCTGTTGATGAACTTGTTGATGTTGTTGTTACTCCGGTTGATGCTGTTCCAGGTGTTGTACCTGATGTAGATGTACCTGGTGTAGATGTTGTGCCCGCTGCAGATGTTGTACCTAGTTCAGATGTTGAATCTTGATTAACATATCAAAATATTGCTTGATACTACTCTATATATTTTCAAATGTATAGCGAAGAAATATATGACAGTATAATTCTAACAAGTCGATGGCTTCAAGGTTGAAGTTACAGTCGATGATTTTGTGTACCTATAAGTACATGTACATTAATAGATCATGTATCATAACAGCGAACGTGATAACCAATTTCCCCTAAAACGTATATAAATCTTTATGACATACATTCGCAATTTTAATATCATCTATCAGCCTACCATAGTTGTTTCCTGTCGACAATTCTGATTTTTAACACAATATTAATATAGAAATTCGACTATTATAGATAAAATCAATTCCAAAGTATTGAGACTTTCGATTCACTTAATCTTCTAACACTGGGATGGTAATTTGAATATTTAAAGATATTTTCATGAATATATTCAATGTTATCTCCAACCTATGGCTAATAATGTAGTTTTCAGTTCATATAAATGAGCATCTTATTGATCCAGCTCCATCAATTTAGGTTCAGTTCATCTTGTACCATAATAATAAATGCTTGTTGTCATTCATACCTTTGTTTGTTGTTGCTGGTACAGCAGTTATTCCAACCGTTGTTGTTTCTTCTATACAGGCAATTATTGTCATGTCTTCAATTTCAAAAGTTGTGTCAGTCATCACACTGTAGGATATGATAATTTGAAGGCCTTCAGTATCCTGAGGAAGAGTGACCTTGGCAGACTCTCCGGTAACTTCTTCTGATTTCTAAAAATCAGCGAATTACATTATTATAGTGATTTTACATATGATGTAGAAGGCTACTTATCGTTAAAGTTCATAGTTAAATAAATTTATATTAAATTGAACATTAACACTCACAGATTACATCAGACATATTCTGGTAAACCAAATTAACTATTTAAAGGCCATCGTCATTAACATGGTCCACAATTTATGTGTTTGAAATTTGGTTTAAATTAAAGGTATTATAAAATAAGCAGGAATTGGACTAGATTTTCAAGCAATGAACTGGAACAAGTGTAATTTTATCTAAGGTTAATGCAAGGTATGGAACGGATTTCAAATTAAATTCAACTAAATGATCAATTACTACATTTTCCAGTGTTTCTGCTTCTCTCATGTGTATTATTTATTTTAATAATTAACATTTATTACTAGGAAACTGTTCATACCGTTTCTACATCCTTGCCTTCTTTATTCTTGATTGTGACAGTTACGCTTTCAACATTTTTCAGTCCTGTTAGTTCCACACTGCTTATTTGAACATCTTGGTTGTTAGTTTTCAGCATTGTAGACATCATTAAAGTTTGTGGATCTGTCGATGGACTAAACTGTCCCACGAGTTTCGTATTTGGATTATCATCTGTTAATGCAGCTAGATCTGGCATCTGTGTAAATTCTCCATTTTCATTCATTATTTCACTTTGTGTCAAGTCAACCACATTCGCATCACTCATTTTGACAACATATGTACATGGTGTCATAGTTGTGACGACAGGAGTTCCAGATGTTGATTCACCTACAAAGAAATGATTACTTCATAAAACGTTGAAAATATTTTCATTAGGTTGGGATATGTGTGGAAGAAATATTAATTTCATTGTTACATATCTACTTCTCCTTTTGGACAGGTAAGATGAAAATATCAATGAATAAACCAATTATTTGTACTTGTTCTGAGTGTCGTTGTTGTTCCAGATGGCGTTCCTGGTAAAGATGTCGTACCTGGTGCAAATGTTGTACTTTGTGCAGATGTGAAACTGGTTACAGACGTTGTACCTGGCATTGAAAATAATATAGACATTGTACACGCAAACAAAATCAGGGCATTTGAGGTTATTCAAGATAGTCTAGTGGGGAATATTTTGACTTGTATCTGTCATTTTCATAAAAAGAGGATTCCCAGCATGCTTTTCATGTTCGTTGGCTCTGGAGGAATTTTTGACGTCATTTCCATATGTGTTTAGTATTGGCTATGGATTTATTGGGAGGAACGTTACTCAATAAATCTCTTACTCATTAGTGTTAGAATAACTCCAAACATTTCACTCATTATTAATATCTCTTAAAAGCATTATTTTCTAAATTTACCAGAGTTGTTTCCTGTTGAAATTTCTTCAGTAGCAGTTTGTGTGGTTTCTGAAAGTGTTGTTGCTCCAGTTGATGATGGTGCTGAAGCCGTACCTTGTGTTGGAGTGTGCATACCCGTCGGCATCAATGGTGTTGTTGTTGTTGTTTGTGTCTGATCCTTAACACCAGATTCTGTTGTAAATGTAGAACTTGACGATGCTAGAACATAGACATTATAACTCTATTTAAGGTGAGCAATAAGGAGACGTTATTCACTGAAAATGGTTAAAAAGACATCAGAAAACACTATTATCTTGTAAATCGTAATAAAGTCTTACTAGTGGAAGGTTGTGTTGTTGAAGCCAATGTCGATGTACTGGATGAAGTAGAACTTGGTAATGTAGAGCCTGGAAGTAAAATTGTGCTTCAAATGAGTTGAGGATCACAACTAAAACGTTATATCAGTATAGAATAGTCAACCATCACATAAACCTTCACGAAATTTAGATTACTAGAAGGTTTTGGCTTAAAATATGATCTGATTGTTAACCTTGATTTGTATAACACAATATAAATATCGACTAATATAGATAAAAAATTCCCAAGTATTGAGATATGATTCATTTAATCTTCTAGCACTGAGTTGGTTATTTAAAGTATTATAGATTTTGTTATGAATATATTCAATATTATCTCAAACCTATGGCTAATAATTTAGTCTTAGGGTCATGTGAGTGTGAACATCTATTTATCGAGCTCCATCAATTAAGATTATAATGTTGCCTTAAAAAGATAATTTCATATGGCAAGGATTTAGTTCATCTTGTACCATGATAATAAATGCTTCGTTTCAATCATACCTCGGTTTGTTGTGGCTGGTACAGCAGTTGTTCCAACCGTTGTTGTTTCTTCAATGCAAGCAATTATTGTCATATCTTCAACTTCAAAAGTTGTGTCAGTCATCACAGTGTAGGAAATGATAATTTGAACTCCTTCAGTTTGCTGAGGAAGAGTAATCTTGGCAGAATCACCAGCAATATTTTCTGATACCTAAAGATCAACAAATTACATTATTATTGTGTATTCACGTAAGAAGTAGAAGGTTACTTACTATAAAAGTTCATTGTTCAATATATTTGTATTAAATTGAACATCAAAGCTCACAGATTACATCAGACATATTCTTGGAAACCAAATTTTAACTTAAAGGCCATGATCATTTACATGGTCTACAATATAAGTGTTGGACATTTGGGTTTTAAATAATGGATAATACATTAAGCAGATATTGGACTTGATGACAAAGCTTTGATAACTGGAACAAGTGTGATTTTATCTATGGTATCGGACGTATTTCAAATTTAATTCAACTAAATGATCAATTAATACATTTTCCAGTGTTTCTGCTTCTCTCACGTGTCTAATTAATTTTAATCATTAACATTTATTACTAGGAAACTGTTTGTTCATACCGATTTCACATCCGTGCCTTCTTTATTCTTGATTGTGACAGCTACGCTTTCAACATTTTTCAGTCCTGTTAGTTCAACACTGCTTATTTCAACATCTTGGTTGTTAGTTTTCAGCATTGTAGACATCATTAAAGTTTGTGGATCTGTCGATGGACTAAACTGTCCCACAAGTTTCGTATTTGGATTATCATCTGTCAAGGCAACTAGATCTGGTCTCTGTGTAAATTCCCCATTTTCATTCATTATTTCACTTTGTGTCAAGTCAACCACATTCGCATCACTCATTTTGACAACATATGTACATGGTGCCATGGTTGTGACGACAGGAGTTCCAGATGTTGATTCGCCTAAAAAGAAACGATCACTTCCTTAAACATTGAAAATATTTTCACAAGGTAGGGATATGCATCGAAGGAATATTAATTTCATTGTTACATATCTGCTTCTCCTTTTGGACAGCTAAGATGAAAATATCAATGAATAAACTAATTTTGCATACTTGTTCTGAGTGTTGTTCCTGTTTCAGATGTTGTACTTGTTCCAGATGATGTACCTGGTGTAGATGTTGTACCTGGTGCAAATGTTGTACTTTGTGCAGATGTGAAACTGGTTACAGACGTTGTACCTGGCATTGAAAATAATATAGACATGGTACAAGCAAACAAAATCAGGGCATTTAAGGTTATTCAAGATAGTCTAGAGGTGAATATTTTGACTTGTATCTGTCATTTTCATAAAAAGAGGATTCCCAGCATGCTTTTCATGTCCGTTGGCATTGGAGGAATTTTTGACGTCATTTCCATATGTGTTTAGTATTGGCTATGGATTTATTGGGAGGAACGTTACTCAATAACTCTCTTACTCATTAGTGTTAGAATAACTCCAAACATTTCACTCATTATTAATATCTCTTAAAAGCATTATTTTCTAAATTTACCAGAGTTGTTTCCTGTTGAAATTTCTTCAGTAGCAGTTTGTGTGGTTTCTGAAAGTGTTGTTGCTCCAGTTGATGATGGTGCTGAAGCCGTACCTTGTGTTGGAGTGTGCATACCCGTCGGCATCAATGGTGTTGTTGTTGTTTGTGTCTGATCCTTAACACCAGATTCTGTTGTAAATGTTGAACGTGACGATGCTAGAACATAGACATTATAACTCTATTTAAGGTGAGCAATAAGGAGACATTATTCATTGAAAATGGTTAAGAAGACATCAGAAAACACTATTATCTTGTAAATCGTAATAAAGTCTTACTAGTGGAAGGTTGTGTTGTTGAAGCCAATGTCGATGTACTGGATGGAGTAGAACTTGATAATGTAGAGCCTGGAAGTAAAATTGTGCTTCAAATGAGTTGAGGATCACAACTAAAACGTTATATCAGTATAGAATAGTCAACCATCACATAAACCTTCACGAAATTTAGATTACTATAAGGTTTTGGCTTAAAATATGATCTTATTGTTAACCTTGATTTGTATAACACAATATAAATATCGACTAATATAGATAAAAAATTCCCAAGTATTGAGATATGATTCATTTAATCTTCTAACACTGAGTTGGTTATTTTAAAGTATTATAGATTTTGTTATGAATATATTCAATATTATCTCAAACCTATGGCTAATAATTTAGTCTTAGGGTCATGTAAGTGTGAACATCTATTTATCGAGCTCCATCAATTAAGATTCTAATGTTGCCTTAAAAAGATAATTTCATATGCCAAGGATTTAGTTCATCTTGTACCATGATAATAAATGCTTCGTTTCAATCATACCTCGGTTTGTTGTGGCTGGTACAGCAGTTGTTCCAACCGTTGTTGTTTCTTCAATGCAAGCAATTATTGTCATATCTTCAACTTCAAAAGTTGTGTCAGTCATCACAGTGTAGGATATGATAATTTGAACTCCTTCAGTTTGCTGAGGAAGAGTAATCTTGGCAGAAGCACCAGCAATAGTTTCTGATACCTAAAGATCAGCAAATTACATTATTATTGTGTATTCACGTAAAAAGTAGAAGGTTACTTACTATAACAGTTCATTGTTCAATATATTTGTATTAAATTGAACATCAAAGCTCACAGATTACATCAGACATATTCTTGGAAACAAATTTTAACTTAAAGGCCATGATCATTTACATGGTCTACAATATAAGTGTTGGACATTTGGGCTTTAAATAATGGATAATACATTAAGCAGATACTGGACTGGATGACAAAGCTTTGTTAACAGGAACAAGTGTGATTTTATCTATGGTATCGGACGTATTTCAAATTTAATTCAACTAGATGATCAATTAATACATTTTCCAGTGTTTCTGCTTCTCTCACGTGTCTTATTAATTTTAATCATTAACATTTATTACTAGGAAACTGTTTGTTCATACCGATTTCACATCCTTGCCTTCTTTATTCTTGATTGTGACAGTTACGCTTTCAACATTTTTCAGTCCTGTTAGTTCCACACTGCTTATTTCAACATCTTGGTTGTTAGTTTTCAGCATTGTAGACATCATTAAAGTTTGTGGATCTGTCGATGGACTAAACTGTCCGACAAGTTTCGTATTTGGATTATCATCTGTCAAGGCAACTAGATCTGGTCTCTGTGTAAATTCCCCATTTTCATTCATTATTTCACTTTGTGTCAAGTCAACCACATTCGCATCACTCATTTTGACAACATATGTACATGGTGCCATGGTTGTGACGACAGGAGTTCCAGATGTTGATTCGCCTAAAAAGAAACGATCACTTCCTTAAACATTGAAAATATTTTCACAAGGTAGGGATATGCATCGAAGGAATATTAATTTCATTGTTACATATCTGCTTCTCCTTTTGGACAGCTAAGATGAAAATATCAATGAATAAACCAATTTTGCATACTTGTTCTGAGTGTTGTTCCTGTTTCAGATGTTGTACTTGTTCCAGATGATGTACCTGGTGTAGATGTTGTACCTGGTGCAAATGTTGTACTTTGTGCAGATGTGAAACTGGTTACAGACGTTGTACCTGGCATTGAAAATAATATAGACATGGTACAAGCAAACAAAATCAGGGCATTTAAGGTTATTCAAGATAGTCTAGAGGTGAATATTTTGACTTGTATCTGTCATTTTCATAAAAAGAGGATTCCCAGCATGCTTTTCATGTCCGTTGGCATTGGAGGAATTTTTGACGTCATTTCCATATGTGTTTAGTATTGGCTATGGATTTATTGGGAGGAACGTTACTCAATAACTCTCTTACTCATTAGTGTTAGAATAACTCCAAACATTTCACTCATTATTAATATCTCTTAAAAGCATTATTTTCTAAATTTACCAGAGTTGTTTCCTGTTGAAATTTCTTCAGTAGCAGTTTGTGTGGTTTCTGAAAGTGTTGTTGCTCCAGTTGATGATGGTGCTGAAGCCGTACCTTGTGTTGGAGTGTGCATACCCGTCGGCATCAATGGTGTTGTTGTTGTTTGTGTCTGATCCTTAACACCAGATTCTGTTGTAAATGTTGAACGTGACGATGCTAGAACATAGACATTATAACTCTATTTAAGGTGAGCAATAAGGAGACATTATTCATTGAAAATGGTTAAGAAGACATCAGAAAACACTATTATCTTGTAAATCGTAATAAAGTCTTACTAGTGGAAGGTTGTGTTGTTGAAGCCAATGTCGATGTACTGGATGGAGTAGAACTTGATAATGTAGAGCCTGGAAGTAAAATTGTGCTTCAAATGAGTTGAGGATCACAACTAAAACGTTATATCAGTATAGAATAGTCAACCATCACATAAACCTTCACGAAATTTAGATTACTATAAGGTTTTGGCTTAAAATATGATCTTATTGTTAACCTTGATTTGTATAACACAATATAAATATCGACTAATATAGATAAAAAATTCCCAAGTATTGAGATATGATTCATTTAATCTTCTAACACTGAGTTGGTTATTTTAAAGTATTATAGATTTTGTTATGAATATATTCAATATTATCTCAAACCTATGGCTAATAATTTAGTCTTAGGGTCATGTAAGTGTGAACATCTATTTATCGAGCTCCATCAATTAAGATTCTAATGTTGCCTTAAAAAGATAATTTCATATGCCAAGGATTTAGTTCATCTTGTACCATGATAATAAATGCTTCGTTTCAATCATACCTCGGTTTGTTGTGGCTGGTACAGCAGTTGTTCCAACCGTTGTTGTTTCTTCAATGCAAGCAATTATTGTCATATCTTCAACTTCAAAAGTTGTGTCAGTCATCACAGTGTAGGATATGATAATTTGAACTCCTTCAGTTTGCTGAGGAAGAGTAATCTTGGCAGAAGCACCAGCAATAGTTTCTGATACCTAAAGATCAGCAAATTACATTATTATTGTGTATTCACGTAAAAAGTAGAAGGTTACTTACTATAACAGTTCATTGTTCAATATATTTGTATTAAATTGAACATCAAAGCTCACAGATTACATCAGACATATTCTTGGAAACAAATTTTAACTTAAAGGCCATGATCATTTACATGGTCTACAATATAAGTGTTGGACATTTGGGCTTTAAATAATGGATAATACATTAAGCAGATACTGGACTGGATGACAAAGCTTTGTTAACAGGAACAAGTGTGATTTTATCTATGGTATCGGACGTATTTCAAATTTAATTCAACTAGATGATCAATTAATACATTTTCCAGTGTTTCTGCTTCTCTCACGTGTCTTATTAATTTTAATCATTAACATTTATTACTAGGAAACTGTTTGTTCATACCGATTTCACATCCTTGCCTTCTTTATTCTTGATTGTGACAGTTACGCTTTCAACATTTTTCAGTCCTGTTAGTTCCACACTGCTTATTTCAACATCTTGGTTGTTAGTTTTCAGCATTGTAGACATCATTAAAGTTTGTGGATCTGTCGATGGACTAAACTGTCCGACAAGTTTCGTATTTGGATTATCATCTGTCAAGGCAACTAGATCTGGTCTCTGTGTAAATTCCCCATTTTCATTCATTATTTCACTTTGTGTCAAGTCAACCACATTCGCATCACTCATTTTGACAACATATGTACATGGTGCCATGGTTGTGACGACAGGAGTTCCAGATGTTGATTCGCCTAAAAAGAAACGATCACTTCCTTAAACATTGAAAATATTTTCACAAGGTAGGGATATGCATCGAAGGAATATTAATTTCATTGTTACATATCTGCTTCTCCTTTTGGACAGCTAAGATGAAAATATCAATGAATAAACCAATTTTGCATACTTGTTCTGAGTGTTGTTCCTGTTTCAGATGTTGTACTTGTTCCAGATGATGTACCTGGTGTAGATGTTGTACCTGGTGCAAATGTTGTACTTTGTGCAGATGTGAAACTGGTTACAGACGTTGTACCTGGCATTGAAAATAATATAGACATGGTACAAGCAAACAAAATCAGGGCATTTAAGGTTATTCAAGATAGTCTAGAGGTGAATATTTTGACTTGTATCTGTCATTTTCATAAAAAGAGGATTCCCAGCATGCTTTTCATGTCCGTTGGCATTGGAGGAATTTTTGACGTCATTTCCATATGTGTTTAGTATTGGCTATGGATTTATTGGGAGGAACGTTACTCAATAACTCTCTTACTCATTAGTGTTAGAATAACTCCAAACATTTCACTCATTATTAATATCTCTTAAAAGCATTATTTTCTAAATTTACCAGAGTTGTTTCCTGTTGAAATTTCTTCAGTAGCAGTTTGTGTGGTTTCTGAAAGTGTTGTTGCTCCAGTTGATGATGGTGCTGAAGCCGTACCTTGTGTTGGAGTGTGCATACCTGTCGGCATCAATGGTGTTGTTGTTGTTTGTGTCTGATCCTTAACACCAGATTCTGTTGTAAATGTTGAACTTGACGATGCTAGAACATAGACATTATAACTCTATTTAAGGTGAGCAATAAGGAGACATTATTCATTGAAAATGGTTAAGAAGACATCAGAAAACACTATTATCTTGTAAATCGTAATAAAGTCTTACTAGTGGAAGGTTGTGTTGTTGAAGCCAATGTCGATGTACTGGATGGAGTAGAACTTGATAATGTAGAGCCTGGAAGTAAAATTGTGCTTCAAATGAGTTGAGGATCACAACTAAAACGTTATATCAGTATAGAATAGTCAACCATCACATAAACCTTCACGAAATTTAGATTACTATAAGGTTTTGGCTTAAAATATGATCTTATTGTTAACCTTGATTTGTATAACACAATATAAATATCGACTAATATAGATAAAAAATTCCCAAGTATTGAGATATGATTCATTTAATCTTCTAACACTGAGTTGGTTATTTTAAAGTATTATAGATTTTGTTATGAATATATTCAATATTATCTCAAACCTATGGCTAATAATTTAGTCTTAGGGTCATGTAAGTGTGAACATCTATTTATCGAGCTCCATCAATTAAGATTCTAATGTTGCCTTAAAAAGATAATTTCATATGCCAAGGATTTAGTTCATCTTGTACCATGATAATAAATGCTTCGTTTCAATCATACCTCGGTTTGTTGTGGCTGGTACAGCAGTTGTTCCAACCGTTGTTGTTTCTTCAATGCAAGCAATTATTGTCATATCTTCAACTTCAAAAGTTGTGTCAGTCATCACAGTGTAGGATATGATAATTTGAACTCCTTCAGTTTGCTGAGGAAGAGTAATCTTGGCAGAAGCACCAGCAATAGTTTCTGATACCTAAAGATCAGCAAATTACATTATTATTGTGTATTAACGTAAAAAGTAGAAGGTTACTTACTATAACAGTTCATTGTTCAATATATTTGTATTAAATTGAACATCAAAGCTCACAGATTACATCAGACATATTCTTGGAAACAAATTTTAACTTAAAGGCCATGATCATTTACATGGTCCACAATATAAGTGTTGGACATTTGGGCTTTAAATAATGGATAATACATTAAGCAGATATTGGACTGGATGACAAAGCTTTGTTAACAGGAACAAGTGTGATTTTATCTATGGTATCGGACGTATTTCAAATTTAATTCAACTAGATGATCAATTAATACATTTTCCAGTGTTTCTGCTTCTCTCACGTGTCTTATTAATTTTAATCATTAACATTTATTACTAGGAAACTGTTTGTTCATACCGATTTCACATCCTTGCCTTCTTTATTCTTGATTGTGACAGTTACGCTTTCAACATTTCTCAGTCCTGTTAGTTCCACACTGCTTATTTCAACATCTTGGTTGTTAGTTTTCAGCATTGTAGACATCATTAAAGTTTGTGGATCTGTCGATGGACTAAACTGTCCCACAAGTTTCGTATTTGGATTATCATCTGTCAAGGCAACTAGATCTGGTCTCTGTGTAAATTCCCCATTTTCATTCATTATTTCACTTTGTGTCAAGTCAACCACATTCGCATCACTCATTTTGACAACATATGTACATGGTGCCATGGTTGTGACGACAGGAGTTCCAGATGTTGATTCGCCTAAAAAGAAACGATCACTTCCTTAAACATTGAAAATATTTTCACAAGGTAGGGATATGCATCGAAGGAATATTAATTTCATTGTTACATATCTGCTTCTCCTTTTGGACAGCTAAGATGAAAATATCAATGAATAAACTAATTTTGCATACTTGTTCTGAGTGTTGTTCCTGTTTCAGATGTTGTACTTGTTCCAGATGATGTACCTGGTGTAGATGTTGTACCTGGTGCAAATGTTGTACTTTGTGCAGATGTGAAACTGGTTACAGACGTTGTACCTGGCATTGAAAATAATATAGACATGGTACAAGCAAACAAAATCAGGGCATTTAAGGTTATTCAAGATAGTCTAGAGGTGAATATTTTGACTTGTATCTGTCATTTTCATAAAAAGAGGATTCCCAGCATGCTTTTCATGTCCGATGGCATTGGAGGAATTTTTGACGTCATTTCCATATGTGTTTAGTATTGGCTATGGATTTATTGGGAGGAACGTTACTCAATAACTCTCTTACTCATTAGTGTTAGAATAACTCCAAACATTTCACTCATTATTAATATCTCTTAAAAGCATTATTTTCTAAATTTACCAGAGTTGTTTCCTGTTGAAATTTCTTCAGTAGCAGTTTGTGTGGTTTCTGAAAGTGTTGTTGCTCCAGTTGATGATGGTGCTGAAGCCGTACCTTGTGTTGGAGTGTGCATACCCGTCGGCATCAATGGTGTTGTTGTTGTTTGTGTCTGATCCTTAACACCAGATTCTGTTGTAAATGTTGAACTTGACGATGCTAGAACATAGACATTATAACTCTATTCAAGGTGAGCAATAAGGAGACATTATTCATTGAAAATGGTTAAGAAGACATCAGAAAACACTATTATCTTGTAAATCGTAATAAAGTCTTACTAGTGGAAGGTTGTGTTGTTGAAGCCAATGTCGATGTACTGGATGGAGTAGAACTTGATAATGTAGAGCCTGGAAGTAAAATTGTGCTTCAAATGAGTTGAGGATCACAACTAAAACGTTATATCAGTATAGAATAGTCAACCATCACATAAACCTTCACGAAATTTAGATTACTATAAGGTTTTGGCTTAAAATATGATCTTATTGTTAACCTTGATTTGTATAACACAATATAAATATCGACTAATATAGATAAAAAATTCCCAAGTATTGAGATATGATTCATTTAATCTTCTAACACTGAGTTGGTTATTTTAAAGTATTATAGATTTTGTTATGAATATATTCAATATTATCTCAAACCTATGGCTAATAATTTAGTCTTAGGGTCATGTAAGTGTGAACATCTATTTATCGAGCTCCATCAATTAAGATTCTAATGTTGCCTTAAAAAGATAATTTCATATGCCAAGGATTTAGTTCATCTTGTACCATGATAATAAATGCTTCGTTTCAATCATACCTCGGTTTGTTGTGGCTGGTACAGCAGTTGTTCCAACCGTTGTTGTTTCTTCAATGCAAGCAATTATTGTCATATCTTCAACTTCAAAAGTTGTGTCAGTCATCACAGTGTAGGATATGATAATTTGAACTCCTTCAGTTTGCTGAGGAAGAGTAATCTTGGCAGAAGCACCAGCAATAGTTTCTGATACCTAAAGATCAGCAAATTACATTATTATTGTGTATTCACATAAAAAGTAGAAGGTTACTTACTATAACAGTTCATTGTTCAATATATTTGTATTAAATTGAACATCAAAGCTCACAGATTACATCAGACATATTCTTGGAAACAAATTTTAACTTAAAGGCCATGATCATTTACATGGTCTACAATATAAGTGTTGGACATTTGGGCTTTAAATAATGGATAATACATTAAGCAGATATTGGACTGGATGACAAAGCTTTGTTAACAGGAACAAGTGTGATTTTATCTATGGTATCGGACGTATTTCAAATTTAATTCAACTAGATGATCAATTAATACATTTTCCAGTGTTTCTGCTTCTCTCACGTGTCTTATTAATTTTAATCATTAACATTTATTACTAGGAAACTGTTTGTTCATACCGATTTCACATCCTTGCCTTCTTTATTCTTGATTGTGACAGTTACGCTTTCAACATTTTTCAGTCCTGTTAGTTCCACACTGCTTATTTCAACATCTTGGTTGTTAGTTTTCAGCATTGTAGACATCATTAAAGTTTGTGGATCTGTCGATGGACTAAACTGTCCCACAAGTTTCGTATTTGGATTATCATCTGTCAAGGCAACTAGATCTGGTCTCTGTGTAAATTCCCCATTTTCATTCATTATTTCACTTTGTGTCAAGTCAACCACATTTGCATCACTCATTTTGACAACATATGTACATGGTGCCATGGTTGTGACGACAGGAGTTCCAGATGTTGATTCGCCTAAAAAGAAACGATCACTTCCTTAAACATTGAAAATATTTTCACAAGGTAGGGATATGCATCGGAGGAATATTAATTTCATTGTTACATATCTGCTTCTCCTTTTGGACAGCTAAGATGAAAATATCAATGAATAAACCAATTTTGTATACTTGTTCTGAGTGTTGTTCCACTTTCAGATGTTGAACTTGTTCCAGATGGTGTTCCTGGTGTAGATGTTGTACCTGGTGCAAATGTTGTACTTTGTGCAGATGTGAAACTGGTTAAGGACGTTGTACCTGGCATTGAAAATAATATAGACATGGTACAAGCAAACAAAATCAGGGCATTTAAGGTTATTCAAGATAGTCTAGAGGTGAATATTTTGACTTGTATCTGTCATTTTCATAAAAAGAGGATTCCCAGCATGCTTTTCATGTCCGTTGGCTCTGGAGGAATTTTTCACGTCATTTCCATATGTGTTTAGTATTGGCTATGGATTTATTGGGAGAAACTTTACTCAATAACTCTCTTACTCATTATTGTTAGAATAACTCCAAACATTTCACTCATTATTAATATCTCTTAAAAGCATTATTTTCTAAATTTACCAGAGTTGTTTCCTGTTGAAATTTCTTCAGTAGCAGTTTGTGTGGTTTCTGAACGTGTTGTTGCTCCAGTTGATGATGGTGCTGAAGCCGTACCTTGTGTTGGAGTGTGCATACCCGTCGGCATCAATGGTGTTGTTGTTGTTTGTGTCTGATCCTTAACACCAGATTCTGTTGTAAATGTAGAACTTGACGATGCTAGAACATAGACATTATAACTCTATTTAAGGTGAGCAATAAGGAGACGTTATTCATTGAAAATGTTAAAGAAGACATCAGAAAACATTATTATCTTGTAAATCGTAATAAAGTCTTACTAGTGGAAGGTTGTGTTGTTGAAGCCAATGTCGATGTACTGGATGAAGTAGAACTTGATAATGTAGAGCCTGGAAGTGAAATTGTGCTTCAAATGAGTTGAGGATCACAACTAAAACGTTATATCAGTATAGAATAGTCAACCATCACATAAACCTTCACGAAATTTAGATTACTATAAGGTTTTGGATTAAAATATGATCTTATTGTTAACCATGATTAGTATAACACAATATAAATATCGACTAATATAGATAAAAAAATTCCCAAGTATTGAGATATGATTCATTTAATCTTCTAACACTGAGTTGGTTATTTGAAGTATTATAGATTTTGTTATGAATATATTCAATATTATCTCAAACCTATGGCTAATAATTTAGTCTTAGGGTCATGTAAGTGTGAACATCTATTTATCGAGCTCCATCAATTAAGATTCTAATGTTGCCTTTAAAAGATAATTTCATATGGCAAGGATTTAGTTCATCTTGTACCATGATAATAAATGCTTCGTTTCAATCATACCTCGGTTTGTTGTGGCTGGTACAGCAGTTGTTCCAACCGTTGTTGTTTCTTCAATGCAAGCAATTATTGTCATATCTTCAACTTCAAAAGTTGTGTCAGTCATCACAGTGTAGGATATGATAATTTGAACTCCTTCAGTTTGCTGAGGAAGAGTAATCTTGGCAGAATCACCAGCAATATTTTCTGATACCTAAAGATCAGCAAATTACATTATTATTGTGTATTCACGTAAGAAGTAGAAGGTTACTTACTATAAAAGTTCATTGTTCAATATATTTGTATTAAATTGAACATCAAAGCTCACAGATTACATCAGACATATTCTTGGAAACCAAATTTTAACTTAAAGGCCATGATCATTTACATGGTCTACAATATAAGTGTTGGACATTTTGGTTTTAAATAATGGATAATACATTTAGCAGATATTGGACTTGATGACAAAGCTTTGATAACTGGAACAAGTGTGATTTTATCTATGGTATCGGACGTATTTCAAATTTAATTCAACTAAATGATCAATTAATACATTTTCCAGTGTTTCTGCTTCTCTCACGTGTCTTATTAATTTTAATCATTAACATTTATTACTAGGAAACTGTTTGTTCATACCGATTTCACATCCTTGCCTTCATTATTCTTGATTGTGACAGTTACGCTTTCAACATTTTTCAGTCCTGTTAGTTCCACACTGCTTATTTCAACATCTTGGTTGTTAGTTTTCAGCATTGTAGACATCATTAAAGTTTGTGGATCTGTCGATGGACTAAACTGTCCGACAAGTTTCGTATTTGGATTATCATCTGTCAAGGCAACTAGATCTGGTCTCTGTGTAAATTCCCCATTTTCATTCATTATTTCACTCTGTATCAAGTCAACCACATTCGCATCACTCATTTTGACAACATATGTACACGGTGCCATGGTTGTGACGACAGGAGTTCCAGATGTTGATTCGCCTAAAAAGAAACGATCACTTCCTTAAACATTGAAAATATTTTCACAAGGTAGGGATATGCATCGAAGCAATATTAATTTCATTGTTACATATCTGCTTCTCCTTTTGGACAGCTAAGATGAAAATATCAATAAATAAACCAATTTTGTATACTTGTTCTGAGTGTTGTTCCACTTTCAGATGTTGAACTTGTTCCAGATGGTGTTCCTGGTGTAGATGTTGTACCTGGTGCAAATGTTGTACTTTGTGCAGATGTGAAACTGGTTACAGACGTTGTACCTGGCATTGAAAATAATATAGACATGGTACAAGAAAACAAAATCAGGGCATTTAAGGTTATTCAAGATAGTCTAGTGGGGAATATTTTGACTTGTATCTGTCATTTTCATATAAAAGAGAATTCCCAGCATGCTTTTCATGCCCGTTGGCTCTGGAGGAATTTTTGACGTCATTTCCATATGTGTTTAGTATTGGCTATGGATTTATTGGGAGGAACGTTACTCAATAACTCTCTTACTCATTAGTGTTAGAATAACTCCAAACATTTCACTCATTATTAATATCTCTTAAAAGCATTATTTTCTAAATTTACCAGAGTTGTTTCCTGTTGAAATTTCTTCAGTAGCAGTTTGTGTGGTTTCTGAAAGTGTTGTTGCTCCAGTTGATGATGGTGCTGAAGCCGTACCTTGTGTTGGAGTGTGCATACCCGTCGGCATCAATGGTGTTGTTGTTGTTTGTGTCTGATCCTTAACACCAGATTCTGTTGTAAATGTAGAACTTGACGATGCTAGAACATAGACATTATAACTCTATTTAAGGTGAGCAATAAGGAGACTTTATTCATTGAAAATGGTTAAGAAGACATCAGAAAACACTATTATCTTGTAAATCGTAATAAAGTCTTACTAGTGGAAGGTTGTGTTGTTGAAGCCAATGTCGATGTACTGGATGAAGTAGAACTTGATAATGCAGAGCCTGGAAGTAAAATTGTGCTTCAAATGAGTTGAGGATCACAACTAAAACGTTATATCAGAATAGAATAGTCAACCATCACATAAACCTTCACGAAATTTAGATTACTATAAGGTTTTGGCTTAAAATATGATCTTATTGTTAACCTTGATTTGTATAACACAATATAAATATCGACTAATATAGATAAAAAAATCCCAAGTATTGAGATATGATTCATTTAATCTTCTATCACTGAGTTGGTTATTTAAAGTATTATAGATTTTGTTATGAATATATTCAATATTATCTCAAACCTATGGCTAATAATTTAGTTTTAGGGTCATGTAAGTGCATCCTCCTATCACAGGGCTTCAAAATCCAGAATATCTTCTTTCTTTTTACCCCCTGCTATAACCAAGTTGGACGCGCCCGATTAAACTAAATCACGTGATCTTATTATGCGCCGATGACGTATACATGATTTCTGTCGCAGTGTTGCGACAGCCAATCAAATTGCGAGTTCTTAATCGGGGAAATGCTAACTGCTTATAGCAGGGGGAAGAAGGAGGTACGGATTCTGGACACCTGTTTAGGAGGATGTGTAAGTGTGAACATCTATTTATCGAGCTCCATCAATTAAGATTCTAATGTTGCCTTAAAAAGATAATTTCGAATGGCAAGGATTTAGTTCATCTTGTACCATGATAATAAATGCTTCGTTTCAATCATACCTCGGTTTGTTGTGGCTGGTACAGCAGTTGTTCCAACCGTTGTTGTTTCTTCAATGCAAGCAATTATTGTCATATCTTCAACTTCAAAAGTTGTGTCAGTCATCACAGTGTAGGATATGATAATTTGAACTCCTTCAGTTTGCTGAGGAAGAGTAATCTTGGCAGAATCACCAGCAATATTTTCTGATACCTAGAGATCAGCAAATTACATTATTATTGTGTATTCAAGTAAGAAGTAGAAGGTTACTTACTATAAAAGTTCATTGTTCAATATATTTGTATTAAATTGAACATCAAAGCTCACAGATTACATCAGACATATTCTTGGAAACCAAATTTTAACTTAAAGGCCATGATCATTTACATGGTCTACAATATAAGTGTTTGACATTTGGGTTTTAAATAATGGATAATACATTAAGCAGATATTGGACTGAATGACAAAGCTTTGATAACAGGAACAAGTGTGATTTTATCTATGGTATCGTATTTCAAATTTAATTCAACTAAATGATCAATTAATACATTTTCCAGTGTTTCTGCTTCTCTCACTTGTCTTATTAATTTTAATCATTAACATTTATTACTAGAAAACTGTTTGTTCATACCGATTTCACATCCTTGCCTTCTTTATTCTTGATTGTGACAGTTACGCTTTCAACATTTTTCAGTCCTGTTAGTTCCACACTGCTTATTTCAACATCTTGGTTGTTAGTTTTCAGCATTGTAGACATCATTAAAGTTTGTGGATCTGTCGATGGACTAAACTGTCCGACAAGTTTCGTATTTGGATTATCATCTGTCAAGGCAACTAGATCTGGTCTCTGTGTAAATTCCCCATTTTCATTCATTATTTCACTTTGTGTCAAGTCAACCACATTCGCATCACTCATTTTGACAACATATGTACATGGTGCCATGGTTGTGACGACAGGAGTTCCAGATGTTGATTCGCCTAAAAAGAAACGATCACTTCCTTAAACATTGAAAATATTTTCACAAGGTAGGGATATGCATCGATGGAATATTAATTTCATTGTTACATATCTGCCTCTCCTTTTGGACAGCTAAGATGCAAATATCAATGAATAAACCAATTTTGTATACTTGTTCTGAGTGTTGTTCCACTTTTAGATGTTGAACTTGTTCCAGATGGTGTTCCTGGTGTAGATGTTGTACCTGGTGCAAATGTTGTACTTTGTGCAGATGTGAAACTGGTTACAGACGTTGTACCTGGCATTGAAAATAATATAGACATGGTACAAGCAAACAAAATCAGGGCATTTAAGGTTATTCAAGATAGTCTAGTGGGGAATATTTTGACTTGTATCTGTCATTTTCATAAAAAGAGGATTCCCAGCATGCTTTTCATGTCCGTTGGCTCTGGAGGAATTTTTGACGTCATTTCCATATGTGTTTAGTATTGGCTATGGATTTATTGGGAGGAACGTTACTCAATAAATCTCTTACTCATTAGTGTTAGAATAACTCCAAACATTTCACTCATTATTAATATCTCTTAAAAGCATTATTTTCTAAATTTACCAGAGTTGTTTCCTGTTGAAATTTCTTCAGTAGCAGTTTGTGTGGTTTCTGAAAGTGTTGTTGCTCCAGTTGATGATGGTGCTGAAGCCGTACCTTGTGTTGGAGTGTGCATACCCGTCGGCATCAATGGTGTTGTTGTTGTTTGTGTCTGATCCTTAACACCAGATTCTGTTGTAAATGTAGAACTTGACGATGCTAGAACATAGACATTATAACTCTATTTAAGGTGAGCAATAAGGAGACTTTATTCATTGAAAATGGTTAAGAAGACATCAGAAAACACTATTATCTTGTAAAGCGTAATAAAGTCTTACTAGTGGAAGGTTGTGTTGTTGAAGCCAATGTCGATGTACTGGATGAAGTAGAACTTGATAATGTAGAGCCTGGAAGTAAAATTGTGCTTCAAATGAGTTGAGGATCACAACTAAATCGTTATATCAGTATAGAATAGTCAACCATCACATAAACCTTCACGAAATTTAGATTACTATAAGGGTTTGGCTTAAAATATGATCTTATTGTTAACCTTGATTTGTATAACACAATATAAATATCGACTAATATAGATAAAACATTCCCAAGTATTGAGATATGATTAATTTAATCTTCTAACACTGAGTTGGTTATTTAAAGTATTATAGATTTTGTTATGAATATATTCAATATTATCTCAAACCTATGGCTAATAATTTAGTCTTAGGGTCATGTAAGTGTGAACATCTATTTATCGAGCTCCATCAATTAAGATTTTAATGTTGCCTTAAAAAGATAATTTCATATGGCAAGGATTTAGTTCATCTTGTACCATGATAATAAATGCTTCATTTCGATCATACCTCGGTTTGTTGTGGCTGGTACAGCAGTTGTTCCAACCGTTGTTGTTTCTTCAATGCAAGCAATTATTGTCATATCTTCAACTTCAAAAGTCATGTCAGTCATCACAGTGTAGGATATGATAATTTGAACTCCTTCAGTTTGCTGAGGAAGAGTAATCTTGGCAGAATCACCAGCAATATTTTCTGATACCTAAAGATCAGCAAATTACATTATTATTGTGTATTCACGTAAGAAGTAGAAGGTTACTTACTATAAAAGTTCATTGTTCAATATATTTGTATTAAATTGAACATCAAAGCTCACAGATTACATCAGACATATTCTTGGAAACCAAATTTTAACTTAAAGGCCATGATCATTTACATGGTCTACAATATAAGTGTTTGACATTTGGGTTTTAAATAATGGATAATACATTAAGCAGATATTGGACTGAATGACAAAGCTTTGATAACAGGAACAAGTGTGATTTTATCTATGGTATCGGACGTATTTCAAATTTAATTCAACTAAATGATCAATTTATACATTTTCCAGTGTTTCTGCTTCTCTCACGTGTCTTATTAATTTTAATCATTAACATTTATTACTAGGAAACTGTTTGTTCATACCGATTTCACATCCTTGCCTTCTTTATTCTTGATTGTGACAGTTACGCTTTCAACATTTTTCAGTCCTGTTAGTTCCACACTGCTTATTTCAACATCTTGGTTGTTAGTTTTCAGCATTGTAGACATCATTAAAGTTTGTGGATCTGTCGATGGACTAAACTGTCCCACAAGTTTCGTATTTGGATTATCATCTGTCAAGGCAACTAGATCTGGTCTCTGTGTAAATTCCCCATTTTCATTCATTATTTCACTTTGTGTCAAGTCAACCACATTCGCATCACTCATTTTGACAACATATGTACATGGTGCCATGGTTGTGACGACAGGAGTTCCAGATGTTGATTCGCCTAAAAAGAAACGATCACTTCCTTAAACATTGAAAATATTTTCACAAGGTAGGGATATGCATCGAAGCAATATTAATTTCATTGTTACATATCTGCTTCTCCTTTTGGACAGCTAAGATGAAAATATCAATGAATAAACCAATTTTGTATACTTGTTCTGAGTGTTGTTCCACTTTCAGATGTTGAACTCGTTCCAGATGGTGTTTCTGGTGTAGATGTTGTACCTGGTGCAAATGTTGTACTTTGTGCAGATGTGAAACTGGTAACAGACGTTGTACCTGGCATTGAAAATAATATAGACATGGTACAAGCAAACAAAATCAGGGCATTTAAGGTTATTCAAGATAGTCTAGTGGGGAATATTTTGACTTGTATCTGTCATTTTCATAAAAAGAGGATTCCCAGCATGCTTTTCATGTCCGTTGGCTCTGGAGAAATTTTTGACGTCATTTCCCTATGTGTTTAGTATTGGCTATGGATTTATTGGGAGGAACGTTACTCAATAACTCTCTTACTCATTAGTGTTAGAATAACTCCAAACATTTCACTCATTATTAATATCTCTTAAAAGCATTATTTTCTAAATTTACCAGAGTTGTTTCCTGTTGAAATTTCTTCAGTAGCAGTTTGTGTGGTTTCTGAAAGTGTTGTTGATCCAGTTGATGATGGTGCTGAAGCCGTACCTTGTGTTGGAGTATGCATGCCTGTCGGCATCAATGGTGTTGTTGTTGTTTGTGTCTGATCCTTAACACCAGATTCTGTTGTAAATGTAGAACTTGACGATGCTAGAACATAGGCAATGATACTCTATTTAAAAACAGAAATAAGGAACTTTATTCATTAAGAAATTGTTTAAAAGGATCAGATAAAACAATAATTCTGTAAATCATAACAAAATCTTACTTGTGGAAGGTACTGTTGTCGAAGCTAATGTCGATGTGCTGGATGAAGTAGAACTTGATCCTGTAGAGACTAAAAGTAAAATTGTGCTTCAAATGAGTTGAGGTTTACAACTTAAACGTTAAAAATATTCAACCATACAAACCTTCACGAAATATTGATAAGTAGAAGGTTTCGGCTAAAAATATGACCCGATCATTGACCTTGATTTGCATACACAATATTAATATAGAAATATCGACTATTATAGATAAAATTTAATTCCAAAGTATTGAGATTTTTGATTCAATTAATCTAACACTGGGATGGTTATTCGTATAATTAACGATTTTTTCATGAATATATTCAATATTATCTCCGATCTATGGCTAATAATTTAGTCTTCAGGTCATATAAGTGTGAGCATATATTTATCGAGCTCTATCGACTAAGATTCAGTTCATCTTGTACCATAATAATAAATGCTTGTTGTCAGTCATACTTTGGTTTGTTGTGGCTGGTACAGCAGTTGTTCCAACCGTTGTTGTTTCTTCAATGCAAGCAATTATTGTCATATCTTCAACTTCAAAAGTCATGTCAGTCATCACAGTGTAGGATATGATAATTTGAACTCCTTCAGTTTGCTGAGGAAGAGTAATCTTGGCAGAATCACCAGCAATTTCTTGTGATACCTAAAGATCAGCAAATTACATTATTATAGTGTATTCACGTAAGAAGTAGAAGGTTACTTACTATAACAGTTCATTGTTCAATATATTTGTATTAAATTGAACATCAAAGCTCACAGATTACATCAGACATATTCTTGGAAACAAATTTTAACTTAAAGGCCATGATCATTTACATGGTCTACAATATAAGTGTTGGACATTTGGGCTTTAAATAATGGATAATACATTAAGCAGATATTGGACTGGATGACAAAGCTTTGTTAACAGGAACAAGTGTGATTTTATCTATGGTATCGGACGTATTTCAAATTTAATTCAACTAGATGATCAATTAATACATTTTCCAGTGTTTCTGCTTCTCTCACGTGTCTTATTAATTTTAATCATTAACATTTATTACTAGGAAACTGTTTGTTCATACCGATTTCACATCCTTGCCTTCTTTATTCTTGATTGTGACAGTTACGCTTTCAACATTTTTCAGTCCTGTTAGTTCCACACTGCTTATTTCAACATCTTGGTTGTTAGTTTTCAGCATTGTAGACATCATTAAAGTTTGTGGATCTGTCGATGGACTAAACTGTCCCACAAGTTTCGTATTTGGATTATCATCTGTCAAGGCAACTAGATCTGGTCTCTGTGTAAATTCCCCATTTTCATTCATTATTTCACTTTGTGTCAAGTCAACCACATTCGCATCACTCATTTTGACAACATATGTACATGGTGCCATGGTTGTGACGACAGGAGTTCCAGATGTTGATTCGCCTAAAAAGAAACGATCACTTCCTTAAACATTGAAAATATTTTCACAAGGTAGGGATATGCATCGAAGCAATATTAATTTCATTGTTACATATCTGCTTCTCCTTTTGGACAGCTAAGATGAAAATATCAATGAATAAACCAATTTTGTATACTTGTTCTGAGTGTTGTTCCACTTTCAGATGTTGAACTCGTTCCAGATGGTGTTCCTGGTGTAGATGTTGTACCTGGTGCAAATGTTGTACTTTGTGCAGATGTGAAACTGGTAACAGACGTTGTACCTGGCATTGAAAATAATATAGACATGGTACAAGCAAACAAAATCAGGGCATTTAAGGTTATTCAAGATAGTCTAGTGGGGAATATTTTGACTTGTATCTGTCATTTTCATAAAAAGAGGATTCCCAGCATGCTTTTCATGTCCGTTGGCTCTGGAGAAATTTTTGACGTCATTTCCCTATGTGTTTAGTATTGGCTATGGATTTATTGGGAGGAACGTTACTCAATAACTCTCTTACTCATTAGTGTTAGAATAACTCCAAACATTTCACTCATTATTAATATCTCTTAAAAGCATTATTTTCTAAATTTACCAGAGTTGTTTCCTGTTGAAATTTCTTCAGTAGCAGTTTGTGTGGTTTCTGAAAGTGTTGTTGATCCAGTTGATGATGGTGCTGAAGCCGTACCTTGTGTTGGAGTATGCATGCCTGTCGGCATCAATGGTGTTGTTGTTGTTTGTGTCTGATCCTTAACACCAGATTCTGTTGTAAATGTAGAACTTGACGATGCTAGAACATAGGCAATGATACTCTATTTAAAAACAGAAATAAGGAACTTTATTCATTGAGAAATTGTTTAAAAGGATCAGATAAAACAATAATTCTGTAAATCATAACAAAATCTTACTTGTGGAAGGTACTGTTGTCGAAGCTAATGTCGATGTGCTGGATGAAGTAGAACTTGATCCTGTAGAGACTAAAAGTAAAATTGTGCTTCAAATGAGTTGAGGTTTACAACTTAAACGTTAAAAATATTCAACCATACAAACCTTCACGAAATATTGATAAGTAGAAGGTTTCGGCTAAAAATATGACCCGATCATTGACCTTGATTTGCATACACAATATTAATATAGAAATATCGACTATTATAGATAAAATTTAATTCCAAAGTATTGAGATTTTTGATTCAATTAATCTAACACTGGGATGGTTATTCGTATAATTAACGATTTTTTCATGAATATATTCAATATTATCTCCGATCTATGGCTAATAATTTAGTCTTCAGGTCATATAAGTGTGAGCATATATTTATCGAGCTCTATCGACTAAGATTCAGTTCATCTTGTACCATAATAATAAATGCTTGTTGTCAGTCATACTTTGGTTTGTTGTTGCTGGTGCAGCAGTTGTTCCAACCGTTGTTGTTTCTTCAATGCAAGCAATGATTGTCATATCTTCAACTTCAAAAGTCATGTCAGTCATCACAGTGTAGGATATGATAATTTGAACTCCGTCAGTATGCTGAGGAAGAGTAATCTTGGCAGAGTCGCCAGCAATGTCTTCGGTTTTCTAAAAATCAGCAAATTGCATCATTGTAGTGTATTCACATAAGATGTAGAAGGCTACTTATCGTAAAAGTTCATAGTTCAAGATATTGGTACTAAATTGAACATTAATCATATTCCGGTGAACCAAAACATTTAAAGGCCATGGTCATTTACATGGTCCACAATATATGTGTTGGTAATTTGGTTTTAATTAAAGGTATTATAAATTAAGCATGAACAGGACTAGATGTTCAAGCATTGATAACTGGAACAAGTGTGATTTTATTTAAGGTTAATGCAAGGTATAGAGCGGTTTTCAAATTTATTACAACAAAGTGAACAACACTACATTTTGCAGTGTTTCTCCTTCCCACATGTGTCTTATCGCTTTGAATCAGTAACATTCATTACTTTGAAACTGTGTGTTCATACCGTTTCAACATCGTTGCCATCTGTATTCTTGATTGTGACAGCAACGCCTTTAACGTTTTTCAGTCCTGTTAGTTGCACACTGCTTATTTCAACATCTTGGTTGTTAGTTTTAAGCACTGTAGACATCTTTAAAGTTTGTGGATCTGTCGATGGACTAAACAGTCCCACAAGTTTCGTATTAGGATTATCATCTGTCAAAGCACCTAGATCTGGTATTTCTGTGAATTCTCCACTTTCATTCATTATTTCACTTTTTGTCAAGTCAACCACATTCGCATCGCTCATTGTGACAACATATGTACATGGTGTCACGGTTGTGACGACAGTTCTTGGTGTTGTGGCGACAGATATTCCAGATGACGATTCTCCTAAATAGGAAATACTGATTTATCAAACAATATATTGATTTATTCTATAGTTAGCATGATATTTATAGGATAACATGTCAAAATAAAAACTGTATTTTTGTAACCAGTGGTAAAATATGATATTTTTGACAAATTTTCACTTAACCATAGCATACGGTGTTTAAGCCATGACATATGGATTTTTGCTACTTCAGATTCAAAACGAGGTTAAGTGTCAACATCGCCAGAGCGTTTGGAAAATTCGAATTAAATCACTTAATTTCCGACGATTCTGATGATGACTTTAACTATTGAATAAAAATAACATCCTATGATTTACTCGTGATATGATTTTAATCCACTCATGGATATTGATATCTGCACTCTCTCGATACGCTCGCTCATGCAGATATCATATCCATTCGTGGATAAAAATCATATCACTCATAAATCATAGGATATCCTCTATTTATTCAATGGGTTGGGTTACCCATCAGAAAATATGAATTTTAAAGTGACATGACTATTGGTCATTCTAGATACCTAAGAAAATTATATAACTAATACAATTTTGAAGGTATTGATAGTATTTGATATCCGTTATTTGTGAATAATGAGAATTTTTCACTTTTATTGCGTATCATTATCTCATGGTTACATAATCGTTTCTTTTTTAGTACAATTACGCAAGCTCTTTGTCGATAGATCTCCCAATGCCAGAAAGTTTTGTAAATATTTATATAGAAACTTTCACATGTTTTTTCGATATAAAATATAATGTAAAATGTTTCAACTTAAACTAACAAGAAACAGCAACTTCACGGAGTATTTTTCTTGAGCAGAGTTCCTGTTTTGTACTTTTTACCAACAATGAAAGTGAGCGATACCTCTTAAGGGTTTAACCTGTATATATACGGTCGTAATTAACGTGATTAGCCTGTAAGATAAACATAAACAATAAATAGACTTACTTGTTAAGATTGTGGTTGTTTGTGACGGTACTGTTGTAGCTAATGATGCAGTTGTACTCTGTTGGTTTGTTGCTGTTGTGAATGTAGAGCCTTGCGTCCCTGTAATAGATGAAATCATAGATACTTAATTATTGAAAGTCATGTTTAACAGGCAAAACTTGCCTTTAGGGTCAACACACTATGCCTTTTGATATCTTCAATATACTAGATAAAAAGACGCACATAGCAAGTTTTATTTACGAAATATATAGACCAAAGAGCAGGTATTATATCGACCAATAAATACTGCAGGGCTAGGCACAAACGTTTCTAGCAGGTTTCCTGTGGGTTCAAAAGCTTTTGTGCCAATTCGAGCATGAAAACTCACCGAAATGTTGCAAATGCGCCACTTTATTGTCCACTTCTGGTTCAGCGTTTAGCACCGAACGAAACACTTAGTACAGTCAAGGTATTGTATCGAGGAATAAATACGTGGTGAAATTGTGACTTTATTCACAGTTTATAGAAGGCGTGAATACACTCGTGTTCGAATGAGATAGATAACATGATGCCCTGACGACCTGCCATATACGCTAATAAAGGTGGGACTTACGTCACGTGAACGGTTCAAAGCCGCCCCTTAGTACGAAAGGCACCGCCAACTTCGTAAATATGTCAGACTTTTGTGAAAAAATGGACGTCAAATTGTCATTTGAAAATGTAAAATATAAAATGTATGATATATAAAACTCGGCATAAATTGACATTGAATGCCTTGTTAACTACTTACTATTCTTTAGTTTATTCCTATCTTAGTTATGGGAATATTCTGTGGGGCAATGCAACGAAAAATAATTTGAACACACTTTTTCTTTTACAAAATAAATTCCTTAGAATAATGACAGACTCTCCAAGAACTGCTCCTTCGAATCCTATCTTCAGAAAGTTCAATATATTAAATATTTTTGACAAATAAATTTCAGATTGCTACATTTGTGCAGAAAACTGTGACTGAATCAAAAGATTTTCCATCTCGTAATTTCAAGCATTTTTTCAAGAGAGAATTGACATACATTCCCATGATACGAGAAATAAATATAATTTGGTAATAAAGAGATTTAGAACTGAAACTGGTCGTACATCAATTGCGGTCAGTGGAGCGACACTTTATAATTCTTTGTCAACAAATTTTAAAAAGGCAAACCATATAAAACAGTTCGACAAAAATGATCAAACGTGATCTTATTAATAAATACCAGTGGTACTTTTTGCTTCCATCTGTTCTTTTTTCAATTAAATTCAAATTGCTTCTGGTTTATAAGTAAAACATGATTGTTGAAAATCTAATTAGCCATGAAATGTATATGTCTTTTTCATGTATTGTATGAAACATTGTATGATTGATTTTAATCTAATACATTGAATTGAATTAATTGAATTGAATATCATGCTTATGATTATGATTCGAATAATAGTAAAAAAATGTATGATAACACTCGGACGACCGCACAGATGGACGGACAGACCCATTGTCTATACCCCGTCGAACTCGTTCGATGTGAAAACTAAAATGTTATTATACCTATAGACTGCCAACATCCAAAAATGTTAAGTTTTCCTTCAATGTGGTCGTTGGGGCCAATGTCGGATGAAGTTAGAGTCACTATGATCTCCTCTGCTTCAGTGTTTTCCGGGAAGTTCACTTTTGTATTAGCCTTAAATAGAAGTACATATTGCAATTTTTGTAATATCTGACTTCACAAAGAAAAGAAAAAGTTCAAAAAGCAAGCATAATGTATTTTTCAAGAACCAATATTCTCACTCAGCATGCATCTATAGGGAAAGATACAAAATCTTCATAATCTTATAGACAAGAATCATTGTGTTGAAAATATAATGACATCTGATATGGTTGGGCTAGCTGCCGTAGTCAACAATCAGCGGTTGTTAGTCCTATCGGCAAAAATATTGTTATATAAAATTATGTAATAATTTATAACAAAATTGTGTCATTATATTATATAGCTAACTAAAACCCTATTCACAAGTTTTGTGAAGTGTGTGTGGAGGGACTGCGTGTTGATGTTGTCTTGGTCAGACACATTGTTTATATAATTCAGCCAATCATAGCTCCTCAATTACACACATCATTCAAAAGATACCACGCGGTATCCAGCCCACCATTCTTTAAATTCATTTGATGATACAGCAACAAATATACTTCTTGTTGCAGGACATTATATTTTCAATACATTTAGATTCTACAGGGTGTCCCGAAAGTATGCCCCCTTGGCAGACATATAGCAATGTCTCAATGGTATGTGTCATATATCGTTTCAAAGCTTATCCAAAGTTACACTGATTTGCCAAGTGTATCATGGCTCAACTCACACCAACTCACAGGCATTTCAAAACTTAGTGTTTGTTCATTTCAGTATCCCGGAAACTGCCTTTACCTGAATGTGACCGAACATATGGGTGCTATTGCGGAATTTTATGAGGATTACAAAATGTCACATCTGTATTTGAAGCGCATTTTAGGTCATATATGAAAAAACTGCTGCTGGTAACATGGCCTCGGGAGACACACCAACTATCATTTGGTGTAATATTGACTTAAATTTTCCCATTCCCATTCGGGAGTTGGACCATGATACTTGGCAAATCAATGTATCTTTGGATGAGCTTTAAAATCATATATGACACATAGTATGGAGACATTGGTATATGTCTGCCTAGGGAGAGGGGCATACTTTCGGGACATCCTGTATTATATGCTTAAATTTTAACTAGGACCAGATTAAAAGTGCAGATCTTAACCTGGTTACTGGTAACTGAGCTAGAACTATGCCCGTTAAACAAGCTATGAGATGAAACGTTATAATGGTCATGTAAGGGATTTTTAACTGCAGACTTCACTCTATGTGTTTATCTCTATGATATTGAGACACTTGCATTCAGTGCATTGGCCATCTTGGATTTTGGTGAAAACATGGAATGATTGCTTGTAGATATAGTAGGTCGGCTTTGGGGTTGTTAAATGATGTAAAATCGATAATTGATTTTATCTTGAAAAGCAGAACGGTTGACACTAAGCTGCCTAACTAAGACTGAAAGAGACGCATGAAAATCATTTACTTACATCATTCTTATTGACTTCTACGAGCAGTGTGGGGATGGTATTTCTCACAACAAATATCTTGACTGATGACAGGACTAAAGAAGGATTAACCCATTCTATCCATTTCAGTTCAGCGGGGGATTTTAGGCTAACAGTAATGTTTACGCTATCCTCGCCCATTTTCCCCTTGAATTTTGGACTCCCAGCAATGTCTCTGAGATAATCAATGCCACTTTCACTTTCTGGGGAAATAGCAATGTCTGTCGTCGGAATCAATTCCTCTTCCAACATTCCATCTTTCGGTACACAGGTATCATCCATTTGTGAACCTTTGTAATTGATAAAAGTATAATATATTTATAATATCTATACATAGAAGGATTTACGATGAAATTCAAGGAGTTACAAAGCGTATTTTTATAGATCCATAGCTCACATTGTAGCTGGCATTTAAAAGTTTAATATATGTATATTATTTGCCTATTGGGGTATTGTAACAGAATCGTCTCAATCTGATATTACCACTAAGATGTAATTTTGATATGGTATTCTATATATATGTGGTAGATTTATCTGATATATTTTTCAAAAAATATTGCATGTTTTCAACATGTTATACCTGTTGTTCCTGCTGCTGATGTTGTACCTGCTGCAGACGTTGTTTCTGCTGCAGATGTTGTTCCTGCTGCAGACGTTGTTCCTGTTGCGGATGTTGTACCTGCTGCAGAGGTTGTTCCTGCTACAGATGTTGTTATTGCTGAAGATGTTGTTCCTGCTGGTGATGTTGTACCTGCTGCAGATGTTGTTTCTGCTGCGGATGTTGTTCCTGCTGCGGATGTTGTACCTGCTGCAGAGGTTGTTCCTGCTACAGATGTTGTACCTGCTGAAGATGTTGTTCCTGCTGCTGATGTTGTTCCTGCTGCGGATGTTGTTCCTGCTGCGGATGTTGTACCTGCTGCAGAGGTTGTTCCTGCTACAGATGTTGTTCCTGCTGCAGATGTTGTTCCTGCTGCGGATGTTGTTCCTGCTGCGGATGTTGAACCTGCTGCAGATGTTGTTCCTGCTACAGATGTTGTTCCTGCTGCGGATGTTGTTCCTGGTGCGGGTGTTGAACCTGCTGCAGATGTTGTTCCTGCTGCGGATGTTGTACCTGCTGCAGATGTTGTTCCTGCTGCAGATGTTGTTCCTTCTGCAGATGTTGTACCTGTTGCAGATGTTGTACCTGCTGCAGATGTTGTACCTGCTGCGGATGTTGTTCCTGCTGCGGATGTTGTTCCTGCTGCGGATGTTGTACCTGCTGCAGATGTTGTTCCTACTGAAGATGTTGTTCCTGCTGCAGATGTTGTACCTACTGCAGATGTTGTTCCTGCTGCGGATGTTGTACCTGCTACGGATGTTGTTTCTGCTCTTGATGTTGTGCCTGCTGCGGATGTTGTTCCTGTTGCGGATGTTGTACCTGCTGCAGATGTTGTACCTGCTGCGGATGTTGTTCCTGCTGCGGATGTTGTTCCTGCTGCGGATGTTGTACCTGCTGCAGATGTTGTTCCTACTGAAGATGTTGTTCCTGCTGCAGATGTTCTTCCTACTGCAGATGTTGTTCCTGCTGCGGATGTTGTACCTGCTACGGATGTTGTTTCTGCTCTTGATGTTGTGCCTGCTGCGGATGTTGTACCTGCTGCAGATGTTGTTCCTGTCACAGAAGTTGTGCCTGATGAAGATGTTGTTTCTGCTGCAGAGGTTGTTCCTGCTGCTAGTGTTGTACCTTCCTCAGAAGTTGTTCCTGCTGCAGATGTTGCTACTGCTGCTGTAGATGCTGGTCCTGTCGCATACGTTGTACCTGTTCCAGATGTTGTACCTGTTTCAGAAGTTCAAATGATTTTAGGATTACAATTTTGTTATACAAGTATCAAATAACTATGCGTATTTTATATAATTGCTCCAGTGAACAACTTTTGTTTTTCTGTTCAATTGTATTTTCTTATATTCTTACAATTCTTGAGAAGGAAATTAAATATCTATCCAAACTTTGTTTGAACAAAATAGGATATACACAGTATAAAATTAAAGTATACCTTTTAAATTCATCAATTCAAACGCATCATTTCTCAAAAAACATTATTTAATTTACCAATGTTGGTTCCTGTTGAAATTTCTTCAGTAGTAGTTTGTGTGGTTTCTGAAAGTGTTGTTGCTCCAGTTGATGATGGTACTGAAGCCGTGCCATGTGTTGGAGTTTGCATACCTGTCGGCATCAATGGTGTTGTTGTTGTTTGTGTCTGATCTTTAACACCAGACTCTGTTGTAAATGCAGAGCTTGACGACGCTAGAACATAGACAATGATATTGTATCTAAACTGAACAGCACCAAGGTGACTTTATTTATTGTACAAGGCATTTACATGACAAAATGTCACTACCTAGTTGCTCACAATATTATGAATTTAATCTTAAACAGGCAATGCGCTTATTTTTGAGGAAAAAACGACAAATTATTATATGAAACATGTTACTCGCACAGTCAATCAAATATGATTAAAACTTTAATTTCGGTAAATACTGAAGTGAAAAAAATTAATCGCATAGACAACAGCATTTGAAGTTCAGAGATCAAAAGAAGTGAATTACCACTTTTCACAAAGTTTATGTTTTTAATAACTCTTGGATTAAAAATGAATGGATAAATAATGCAAACAACAATGGCATCTTTCAATGGAATTGCTAAAAACGTGAAATATATAAATTGATAGATCGAAAATATTTTTTCAAAAATGTTGTTCCTGTTGAAGATTATGTACCTGCTGCAGATGTTGTTCCTGCTCCAGATGTTGTACCTGCTGCAGATGTTGTTCCTGCTGCAGATGTTGTTCCTGCTGCAGATGTTGTTCCTGCTGCAGATGTAGTACCTGCTGCAGATGTTGTTCCTGCTCCAGATGTTGTACCTGTTGCAGACGTTGTTCCTGCTCCAGATGTTGTACCTGCTGCAGATGTTGTTCCTGCTGCGGATGTTGTACCTGCTGCAGATGTTGTTCCTGCTCCAGATGTTGTACCTGCTGCAGATGTTGTTCCTGCTCCAGATGTTGTACCTGCTGCAGATGTTGTTCCTGCTGCGGATGTTGTACCTGCTGCAGATGTTGTTCCTGCTCCAGATGTTGTACCTGCTGCGGATGTTGTTCCTGCTCCAGATGTTGTACCTGCTGCAGATGTTGTTCCTGCTGCGGATGTTGTACCTGCTGCAGATGTTGTTCCTGCTCCAGATGTTGTACCTGCTGCAGATGTTGTTCCTACTCCAGATGTTGTACCTGCTGCAGACGTTGTTTCTGCTGCAGATGTTGTACCTGCTGCGGATGTTGTACCTGCTGCAGAGGTTGTTCCTGCTACAGATGTTGTACCTGCTGAAGATGTTGTTCCTGCTGCGGATGTTGTTCCTGCTGCAGATGTTGTTCCTGCTCCAGGTGTTGTTCCTGCTGCGGATGTTGTTCCTGCTGCGGATGTTGAACCTGCTGCGGATGTTGTTCCTGCTGCGGATGTTGTACCTGCTGCAGATGTTGTACCTGCTGCAGATGTTGTACCTGCTGCAGATGTTGTACCTGCTGCGGATGTTGTACCTGCTGCGGATGTTGTTCCTGGTGCGGGTGATGAACCTGCTGCAGATGTTGTTCCTGCTGCAGATGTTGTACCTGCTGCAGATGTTGTTCCTGCTGCAGATGTTGTTCCTTCTACAGAGGCCGTACTTGCTGAAGATGTTGTTCCTACTGAAGATGTTGTTCCTGCTGCAGATGTTGTTCCTACTGCAGATGTTGTTCCTGCTGGTGATGTTGTACCTGCTGCGGATGTTGTACCCGCTGAAGATGTTGTTCCTGCTCGTGATGTTGTACCTGCTGCAGATGTTGTTCCCGCTGCAGATGTTGTTCCCGCTGCAGATGTTGTTCCTGCTGGTGATGTAGTACCTGCTGCAGATGTTGTTCCTGTCACAGAAGTTGTGCCTGATGAAGATGTTGGTTCTGCTGCAGAGGTTGTACCTGCTTTAGATGTTGAACCTGCTGCAGATGTTGTTCCTGCTGCGGATGTTGTACCTGCTGCAGACGTTGTTTCTGCTGCCGATGTTGTTTCTTGTGCGGATGTTGTTCCTGCTCCAGATGTTGTACCTGCTGCAGATGTTGTTACTGCTCCAGATGTTGTTCCTGCTGCAGATGTTGTTCCTGCTCCAGATGTTGTACCTGTTGCAAACGTTGTTCCTGCTGCAGATGTTGTACCTGCTTTAGATGTTGTACCTGCTGGAGATGTTGTTCCTGCTCCAGATGTTGTACCTGCTGCAGATGTTGTTCCTGGTGCAGATGTTGTTCCTGATGCAGATGTTGTTACTGCTGCAGATGTTGTTACTGGTGCAGATGTTGTACCTGCTGCAGATGTTGTTTCTGCTGCGGATGTTGTACCTGCTGCGGATGTTGTTCCTGCTCCAGATGTTGTACCTGCTGCAGATGTTGTTCCTGCTCCAGATGTTGTACCTGCTGCAGACGTTGTTCCTGCCGCAGATGTTGTACCTGCTGCAGATGTTGTTCCTGCTCCAGATGTTGTACCTGCTGCAAATGTTGTTCCTGCTGCGGATGTTGTACCTGCTGCAGATGTTGTTCCTGCTCCAGATGTTGTACCTGCTGCAGATGTTATTACTGCTGAAGATGTTGTTCCTGGTGAAGATGTTGTTATTGCTGCAGATGTTGTTCCTGTTGCTAATGATGTTGTACCTGCTTCAGAGGTTGTACCTGGTGTAGATGTTGTACCTGCTATAGAGGTTGTACCTTCTGCAGGTGTACCTGTTAAATACAATATTCAAAGTAAATACGATACTAGTAATACTAATTTACTATATCAAAACGAGACAACAGCAAGATAAAAGCGCTGCAAATCCCTTTGTAGAGCCATGACCATATTCAAAATGCCCATTTATTGGCTAAATTTACACTGGACGTTGAAATATACCTCGTAGTCACCTACGATATATGAACATATGGACACTACCATTTCCTTTTCAGATATATAGCAAAAATGTAAAATATTGTGATTACAATAGCTCACCTTGTGAGCTAAAAATAAGAGGGGTAAAACCACCAGGGTTCAGAGAACACATTTGTATATAATAATGTAATCGTGTGTTGAGAAGAATTCGTCGCTGATTAGTCAACTCGACTTACAGATGGCATCATTCAATGTTGGTTTCGAAATCATCTAAAAACACTCCGTAGTATAGTATGTCAATTTCTGGCGTGTTAACAAATAGCATACCTTGTTATTTCACATCAAGATGAAGAAAGATGTAAGGAATATGCTAACATCTATCAAAATATCACCACGACGTGTTGTTTTCGAAAACTAAACGGTGAAAATGACCACATTTTTTCATAATGGCCACCGAGTACCCAAAAATCCATTGGGAAGCAAAGAGGATTTGCTCCCAAGATGAAACTCGATATTTTCCAACAATGAAAATGTCATTATTTTCTGAAATTAAAACCGACTGTAAATTCAAAATAAACAGTTCAAAAGATTCGAACCAATATCTCGATCATTTCTTGTGAGTTTTCGAATTTTTTGTTAATTCACGATTCAAATGCTGAAGTAACCCCCCTATCACACCAAACTCGTTCTTACCCGTTCTTGCCAGTCCTACGAAAACGTCGTAAAACGGGCTCAATCTGGCTGTGGTCGGGAAATATGTCTGAAATAATTAGCTTCTTCGTTCTTAAACAGTCTTCAATACGTCCTTCTCGTTCGCAGTTCGTTCAGGTCGCACCACGTCGGTGTGCAACGTAGTAGAACGCGTCCCTTAGTCTAGAAGGTCAACATGACCTGATTACAGAACGTTATGGTCGCCATCGAATTTTGAATCGATTCAAAATTCTAAAATCACATTCCCGTCTGAGAACGATCATAAAGTTCGTAAATAGACCTTAGAAAGTTGCAGCTACGTTCATTCCGTTCGCACACAGTTTTGAAGAACGCAGTGGCAACTTGTTTGGTGTGATAGCTATATTTTTGCTAACTCGTTCATAACAGTGTTAAATACGTTCTCAATCAGTTTAAACCCGTTTGCAATTAGTTCTACCTCGTTCTCAACACGTCCTCAGACAATTCAACTCGTTGTTAAAACGTCCCTAGTAGGATTGAAGTACGACGGTTCCGTTCGTAGTACGTCCAGCTCGTCGTTAGTACGTTGTCACTCGTTCTAATTGTAGAACGTGACGACCACGAGAACATTTTGAGCATTGTCTAAGTTCTAGAGGACCTACCCGTTCGAGTACGTTCGATGAAGTTTGTTAATAGATCCCAAACGGTTTTTAGTAGGTCCAGTCCGTTCGTACACAGTTGAAGCCCGTTTTTGAGAACGTAGTGAGAACTAGTTTGGTGTGATAGTAGGGTTAGCAAAATGGCGGCTGTTTGAATTCGACATGTCCATATATGGGACAAAATATCGATGTTGCACTCTGGGAACCAATACTTTTGATTGGGAAGTATAGTATGCTTCTAAACATTCACATATATTCACATATATTAAAATAAAACAAATCGCTTAACTACTTTTTCAGTTAGAGCAACAACATAGAGGACACAAGCGTGTACAAAAAGTCCCCGTACAGATGGATTGACGGACGGAGCTTAACTAAAATATCAGTATACCTATAGACTGCCAACATCCAAAAATGTTAAGTTTTCCTTCAATGTGGTCTTCCGGACCAATGTCGGTTGAAGTTAGAGCCACTATGATCTCCTCTGCTTCAGTGTTTTCCGGGAAGTTCACTTTTGTATTAGCCTGAAATAGAAGTACATATTTCAATTGGTGTTATATCTAACATGAGAATATAACTTGAAAGAAAATAAACTTTGTATAACGGTCATGCAAAGAAAAAGCCTCATTAACCATAAGGTCGGGAAAAGATTTGAAAATGTAAGAGACCATTGTTGATGATTTGGCCTAAAAAAGGCCCATTTTTGAGGGCCTACAAAATCCTTGGGTCCACAATTGTTGCGGCCCTTAACATTTTTCTGAGCCCATCTTAGAGGGGGGAGGCATGGGCAACCAGGGAACTATATAATAATATGCCTCTTCAGTGTAATTAAATCATGAGGAATCTTAGAGGAAACACAAAGAACAAAATTGTACCATTGACATATCTCAAGAACCTAATTTGGGTAATTATTTTAGAACGGGTAGCTTAGTGACACCTTAAAGGCACCATATAGAAACATATAAAATCTTCCCAAAATTATGATTATAAACAATGTACGGTATTGTTATTGGACTTGAAACTTGTGTAAGCAAGCATATTTCTATACTGACCATAGTAAGCGGATGGTGTCAAATATACATATTAATTCTGCACATCTGCATGAATCATTATACAAAACCGATTCAATATTTGCAATCTACTCTAAATTGCCTTTCATTTGAGTATAATAAGAAAGATCTCAAAATTAACGCATATTCCTGGTGACAGCCATTTTGAATTTCTCTAGGCACAAATCAGAAAGACATACCATAATTATGATCTACCCTTAATTTCATTCAATTTGAGTTTAACATAGACATACTTTAAAGGGATCAGAAAAGTATGCGAAATCTTACATAAGGCGGTCATTTTAAATTTTACGAGTCCCAAATAACAAAACCAATACTATATTGTGCCATTTATTTGAGTATAATAAAGCTATACTTTAGAAAGATCTCAATTTTTTTGGTGTTGTCTGATGTAAAATCAGTTATTATTTTGCTTTTTCCGGAAGTGCAGAATGGTTGATAACTCGTCTATCTACGATTGAAGTGACACATAAATATCATTTAAACTTACATCATTCTCATTGATTTCTGCGAGCAGTGTGGGGATGGTATTTCTCACAATAAATATCTTCACTGAAGACAGGACTGGAGAAGGATCAACCCATTCTATCCATTTCAGTTCAACTGGGGATTTTAGGCTAATAGTAATGTTTACGCTATCCTCGCCCATTTTCCCCTTGAATTTTGGACTCCCAGGAATGTCTCTGAGATCATCAATGCCACTGTCACTTTCTGGGGAAATAGCAATGTCTGTCGTCGGAATAAGTTCTTCTTCCAACATTCCATCTTTCGGTATGCAGTCATCATCCAATGGTGGCGATTCTTTGTAATTTAAAAAGTACAATTTATTATTACATCCATACATAGGGGGATATACGAAGTTAACAGGAACGCCATGGCTGGCTATTTGGATTGTATCACGATAAAACCATTACTCAAGCTGAGGAGACATTGATCTATCATTATTCTTTTCCATGCCAAATGTGTCTTTGACCTCGGCTTGTATTTCATTTGCATTGTTTTGTAATATTTATGTATTTTTGCTTTTTAATACACAAATGTGATTAAAATGAAATAAACTAACATGAAAACATTATTCTTTAATTTGAAGAGAGAAAGTTTAATTCACTGAAACAATCTGATTTGATTTGAAATGCCTATATAAGTCCTCAAACCTGATGAATATTTTAGTTTGATATTGCATCAACTGAACCTTTTATACATTTGATTTTTCAGATGGTGGGCTTAATAATTACCACCAGTTCATTGTAATAATTTTACTATGGCATATTGCATATATCCTAGATGCTATACCTGGTCTGGATGTTGTTCCTGCTACAAACGTTGTCCCTGCTGTAGGTGCTGTTCCTGCTGTGGATGATGTTTCTGCTGCAGATGTTGTCCCTGTTACAGATGTTGTACCTGCTGCAGATGATATACCTGCTGTAGGTGTCGTTCCTGGTGCAGATGTTGTTCCTGCTGCAGATGTAGTACCTGCTGCAGGTGTCGTTCCTGCTGCAGATGTTGTTCCTGCTGCAGATGTTGAACCTGCTGCAGAAGTTGTTCCTGATGCAGATGTTGTACCTGCCGCAGATGTTGTACCTGCTGAAGATGTTGTACTTGCTCCAGATGTTGTAACTGTTCCAGATGTCAAGCTAATTACAGTTGTTTCAAATGTTGTTCCTGGTGACGATGTTGTGCCTATTGTAGATGTTGAACTTGTTCCAGTTGTTGTACCTGATATTGAAAACAGGATACAGAAAAAATAGGAAAAGGGAGAAAAAGTGAAGAATATCATAAACATTTAAATAAATCATGCTATAATTTTCCAGAATCATATGTACTTGGTACAGATGTTGCAAATGTTTTACCGGTTGCAAATTGATTACCAAGTATTGGGATTTTCGATTTAACCTTCCAATACTGGGAAGTGTCACGAAGTAAGAAAAGCAATAAAATTTAGACGATGAATGCATTTAACACATAAAACACCAATATCTTTATTTATATACATCAATGGAATGAACTGATAACCTGTCCTGAATCTCCTTCAGAGTAAAGTTTTCAAGCAGACTCTCTGCAACAATTTTTCGCTTTCATTTGCCTTAAACGCAATAATCTGTCTATTGTGTGCAATCTCAAATGGATTTGTCTTTTTCATCTGTGAAGCCATTTAATTCTCTGTCGATAAGCAAGCCACCAAGGTATTCGCACTGTGTTTTTATTTTACTCTTATCAAACAGTTTCACTCTTGCTTACAAAAGTCTGGATTTGCTTGTACGATTTCAATTCAAGCTGTACAGAACCCATCCTTTCAACTTTCTGATCTATCCAGTTTTCCCCGGGAATTCTTTTACAATTTTTGACCCTCCAACCATATCACTACTTTAGTCACCTCCTTTGTACAATTTCTTTTGTAATGCATTCACACTTTCAAATTATAACATATACAATGAATAGGATTAAAATGGTACAAGGTTACTTTGCTATGTAGGGCAATATTTGTGTGTAGAAGGCAAGTAAGGCAGGCACAGATGGGTGAATAATATGAGAAAGTTGTTGCCGTTGTTGTCGTTGTTATGTAGATGTTATGTTAATAGACTATATTATTCAATTATTACATATATTAGATTTAATTGAGTGAGTTTAGACAGGTTACTTAGCAAATAATTGTTTTATATTTTAAGTGTTCAGTGTTGTATGAAAAATATAATATTGTTGAATAAGAGACTTAGCAGTTCGTAGCAGAATGTGATATCTATAGCGTATGAAGTAATGACTATTCATATGTGGTAATTGTGATGCGAAAAATTACCTGATATGAGGTGAGACAAACTATTTATTAATTATTCTCAGAGGGACCTGACCTTCCTGAACTTAATGTATATTGCTACAATTTTATGATAACCAATATGGTGAAATATCATTATTCCTGTGATTGACTTTGGCGTGATAGTTATAATGCAGCTGATACTGCGTACATGAACCCATATTGCTGATATTGCACATTCCATATGGTATATGATGCTGCATTCGTGAACATTAACCAATATGACATATATAACATACCATAATCTAGGGAGGAATCCTAATATACAAGCATCTCCCAGGGATTGCGATATACAGGGTGATCTTAAAACTATAGATCTACAATATCTCCTGATGAACAATTGAGTACTATAATTTATGTATAATCAAGTTTAGGAGTGATAGAGTAATTAATTTGAAGACAGATAGATCTTTAAGTAAGATAGGCGTTGGGTGTTAGTTAGTGACATATTGTTGTATTATTCATTTATTTATTTTATATTTATAAGAACACAAATTATTCTTTTAATAAGTGTTAATATCATGTTATTTTAATTGCATATTTGTAAGGTCATAAAATCCCACCCGAGAAATCTTGACACATATATATATTATGCCTCATCAATTAAGATTCTGATGTTGTTTTAAAAATATGATTTTATATGGCAAGAATTTAGTTCATCTTTTAATGACAAATATTGCGTGTAATACAAACCTTGGCTTGTTGTGGCTGGTACAGCAGTTGTTCCAACCGTTGCTGTCTCTTCTATGCAAGCAATTATTGTCATATCTTCAATTTCAAAAGTTGTGTCGGTCATCACACTGTAAGATATGATAACTTGAACTCCTTCAGTATGCCGAGGAAGAGTAATCTTGACAGACTCGCCAGCAACGTCTTCTGATTTCTAAAAATCAGTGAATTACATTATCATAGTGTATGGACATTAGATGTTCATGGCTACTCATCCTAAAATTTTATTATTCAAAATATTGGTATTTAATTGGACATTTAGTCTCATAAGCTCATAAGATATATTGGTAAACCAAATTTACATTTAAAGGCAAATGTCATTTACATGGTCTATAAAATTTGTGTTTAATATTGCTTTAATTAAAGGTAACTTGAAAGAAGCTGGTATTTGACTGGATGACCAAGCATTGACAACTCAAACAAGTTTGTTTTTATCTTAGGATGATGTAAGTTTTGGAACGTATTTCAAATTTAATTCGACAAAGTGAATAACACTACATTTTTTAGTGTTTTTCCTTTCATGTGTCTTCGGTTTTAATCAGTAACATTTATTTCTATGAAACTACTATGTGTTCATACCGTTTCCACATTGTTGCCATCTGTATTCTTGATTGTGACAGTAACGATTTCAACATTTTGCAGTCCTGTTAGTAGCACACTGCTTATTTCAACATCTTGGTTGTTAGTTTTAAGCATTGTAGACATAATTAAAGTTTGTGACTCTGTCGTTGAACTAAACTGTCCCACAAGTTTTGTATTAGGATTATCATCGGTTAAAGCACCTAGATCTGGTCTTTGTGTGAATTCTCCATTTTCATTCAATATTTCACTTTGTGTCAAGTCAACCACATTCGCATCACTCATTTTGACAACATATGTACATGGTGCCATGGTTGTGACGACAGGAGTTCCAGATGTGGATTCCCCTAAAAGGAAATTATCTCTTCATTAAACATTATCAATAGTTTCACAAGGCATGGACATGCGTCGAAGGAGTATTAATTGCAGTGTAACTTATCTACTTTTCTTTCTGGACAACTAAGATGTAAATGTCAATGAATAAACTAATTTTGCATACTTGTTCTGAGTGTTGTTCCTGTTTCAGATGTTGTACTTGTTTCAGATGATGTACCTGGTGTAGATGTTGTACCTGGTGCAAATGTTGTACTTTGAGCAGATGTGAAACTGGTTACAGACGTTGTACCTAGCGTTGACAATAATATACACATGGTATAATAAAACAAAAGCAATTACACGAGGATCTACACAAGCGTCATCTTAAAAACACGAGTGAACATTGAATAAAGGAATTTTGTGGAGTTATATTGTCTAAACATGCTGATATGTTGCATGTGGGTATCGAACTAAGCATATTAGGTAAATCAAGATATTTTATCTGGAAATCTTCAACATCTATATACCAGTTTCATCACTAAATATCGTTAAATATAGCTTCCAAAGTAAATTTCCAGCATAATTGTGACCCGTAATGGCTCCAGAGAAAGGTGTGATGTCATTTTCATGTGTTCAGTTTTTGCTATAGATTAAATATCATGGAACATCAGTCAATAACTCCCTAACTCATAAGTGTTACAATAAAACCCCACATCCTTCATCTATTATTAATGTCTCTCAAAAGCATTATGTACTAAATTTACCAGAGTTTGTTCCTGTTGAAATTTCTTCAGTAGCAGTTTGTGTGGTTCCTGAAAGTGTTGTTGCTCCAGTTGATGATGGTGCTGAAGCTGTGCCTTGTGTTGGAGTGTGCATACCTGTTGGCATCAATGGTGTTGTTGTCGTTTGTGTCTGATCTTTAACACCAGACTCTGTTGTAAATGTAGAGCTTGACGATGCTAGAACATAGACAATGATACTGCATTTAAAGTTAACAGCAACAAGGTGACTTTATTCATTGAGAAATGGTTTAAACGACATCAGAAAATACAGTAATAGAGTAAATCATAAAAAAGTCTTACTAGTGGAGGGCTGTGTTGTCGAAGCTAATGATGATGTACTGGGTGAAGTAGTACTTGATACTGTAGAGGCTGCAAGTAAAAGTATGCTTCAAATGAGATGAGGATCACAACTAAAACGTTAGGTAAGTTATTCAACTTCAACACTAACCTTCATGATATATTGATTACTAGAAGATTTTGGCTAAAAACATAATTTGATCATTGACTTTGATTTGTATAACACAATGTTAATAAATATGGACTAATGTTTAGAAAAATGAATACCCAAGTATTGAGATGTTAAATTCACTAAATCCTCTAACACTGGGGAATAAAATCGAATTATAAAATATTGTTGCTGGAATATATCCAATATCTCCAACTCATGGCTAATAATTTAGTCTGCAGATCATAAAAGTGAAAGCATATATTTATTATGCCTCATCGATAAAGATTCTAATGTTGCTTAAAAAAATATGAGTTTATATTGCAAGGATTTAGTTCATCTTTAATAATAAATACTGCATGTAATTCATACCTTGGCTTGTCGTGGCTGGCACAGCAGTTGTTCCAACCGTTGTTGTTTCTTCTATGCAAGCAATTATTGTCATATCTCCGATTTCAAAAGTTGTGTCGGTCATCACACTGTATGATATGATAACTTCAACTCCTTCAGTATGTCGAGGAAGAGTAATCTTGGCAGACCCGCCAGCAACGTCTTCAGATTTCTAAAAATCAGCAAATTACCTTATTATAGTGTACTGACTTTAGATGTTCATGGCTACTCATCCTAAAATTTAATTATTCAAAATATTGGTATTTAATTGGACATTTAGTCTCATAAGCTCATAAGATATATTGGTAAACCAAATTTACATTTAAAGGCAAATGTCATTTACATGGTCTATAAAATTTGTGTT